TATAAAAAAATGTTCATCCAACAAAGTAATAGTTGTTATCATATTGTCATAGCAATAAGAAATGCTTTATGTTTATATTAAATCTTTGTCGAACTTAAAATGATTTTGTTAAATCTATAGTTGTATGGGAATTGCGCTTACATAAAGTAATGCGCAGTTGCTATAGTAAAATTTGTTCATTTTACTGTGGCATACTTGTCTTTTTTAAATTAGTATCGTTGTACGTAATTCAAACTAATTTTATTTCAGTTAGAAAATATTTGTTAATAGCTTACGTTAAGAACAATAACAAAAATATTTTATTGCTATAAAATGACTTTTTTAATATTTTTTAATATTAATATATATAGTAAATTTACTATTGTTTTGCATTTCCCTTAAAAAGAGGGAGAAAGGGCCAGCGCGCTGCAGCGCTCTCCTTGGTGAACATAACTTTATAATCCAGTCTGTGTTATAATCTTATTGATTTCATTTGTGCGAGTGAAGTGTGGTAAAATCTAGCATGATAAAAATATCAAAAAGATCAGTAAGAAAATTAAAATTCCGACGTTTTGTAACAGAAATATTTAAGGTCTATTCTATAAACGAAGCAGACTGTTTAGTTATATTTATTAAAAAATTTTCTGAGTGTCCAAATCACAGTGAATAATTAAATCGGTCCGAATGCTTGACAACGTTCATTTTTTAGCTAAAAAGGTAGTTTGTCAAAATTTGATTTCTTTTAAAAATATAATATAAGGTTTTATAGATAATTTTAAATATTTAAATTAGTAATTTTGTTTTATTCCCTATAAATATTTTATTTAAAACGCAGCACCATTAAATTTTGTAAATAATTTTGATGTTTTAAACATTTTTTTTATTTATAGGAAATGTATAATAACTAATCCCAAAAAACAACCAAAATGCGACCATATTATTTTACTTAAATGCATTACCGAGGCTTACCTAAAGAACAAAATGCTTTTTAAAGAGATTGAAGCAAACTGTTTGCTACAATACTTTTTCAGAATAAATTACACATTACACCAAGTATCTAGAATCTAGATAATGCAAAAACCTATTTTATCTGTTCGTCCTAGATAAAGTATAGTATGCAACTCGTTTTATAAACTTCTCTAGACACTCGCTTTTATTAAACACTCGCTCGCAAGCTCGTAACTAAAATAACGATTATAAAACTTGATACATTATATACCATTTTCTACTCCCACCCTTAAAACGTCCATTATCGTACATGTCTCCATCACACTAAGTGACCTTTTAAATACACATTGACAAGTTGTGGCTTTATGGCGTTTTAGTCACGGGCTGAAGTTAGCCACAGGTTTTTAGTAACGGGCTGAAGTTAGTTGACAGTTGTCAAAGTCCCTTCTTGTAAAATAATACTAAATGTGATAATTAATTTATTATCTCAATAAACTAGATATAACTTAAATTCGGGCTTGGAATCCACAGTGAAGTGCTCATAAAATTTTTTTTCACTTTCACTGTGAATATTATTCACTAGATACCTGTTGTTAATCCATTTTCAAGGGATACATTTCGATTTATAACAAATAAAAATTTGACATTTGACGGTAATACAGTTTTCCCTATTGTTCTTAGACACATTCATTTAAGCACTCGCTCGCAATCTCTCTCGTGCCTAAATTAAATTCGTGTCATACATACATAAAGTTTATATCATCCAAATTTTACCAGTCGATAGTTTACCGAATAATAAAGGTAATAATTCTAATAAAATATATGAGGAATACCAAATGATCAATACAAAATCTGAAAAGTCTTCCTTTTTATAATTGATTTGTAGTAAAATATTTAAAATAATTTTTTTCTTTACTACCCTTAATCGAATATATTTAATAATAATAATAATAATAGGCTTTATTTCAGAAGACATATACATGTGTAGAAAACGTCAAGGTAAATTTGAAATAGACAAACATAATACATAAGAAATTACAAAATGATTCATAATGTACATAAATAAATTTTAACAACTTTAGCTAGATTATAAGAAATTCATTCAAGCTATAGAAACATTTGGACAACAAATATGACTTCAAAAGTGTTTTAAAAATGTGAACTGATTTTGAGTTTTTCATTTCCAAAGGAAGTCTATTAAATATATGTATTCCTAAACTGTTTGGAGACTTTTTACCTAAATTTAGTCGATTAAAAGGTATTCTCAGATCATTTTTATTTCGTGTATTAAAATTATGGACATCACAGTTCATTGAAAATTTACTTTTATTTAAAAATACGTATGTACATAATTCTAAAATTTGAACGCATGGGACTGGCAATATATTAAATTTCTTAAATAAATTTCTACATGAATAATCATGTGAAACCCCAGCTATGCATCTGATAATTCGCTTTTGAGAAATAAATACATGCTCAGCACAGGTAGATGATCCCCAAAAACAAATACCATAGCGGAGCCGACTGTCTACTTGGGCATGATATAAAGAAATTAATTGTTCCAAAACCAATACTTGTCTAAGATTTCTAAATAAATAGACTAAAGAACTTAACTTTGAAATCAAAAAGTCACAATGATGCTTCCAATTTAGTTTCTCATCAAGAATAATACCTAAGAATTTAAGGTGGTCTTTTCTTGATATATCTAGGCCATCAATCGACAAACTTAAATTGAGAGATTCACTAGGCCCAAAACCCTGAGTAGAGAATCTCACGTAATTAGTCTTGGTTGCATTCAGATAGAGTGAATTATAGGAAAACCAGGACGATAACAAATCCAGGTTTGCGTTGCACTCCATCTCAAGAATATGGTTACTTTTGTTTGATAGTACAAGTGTTGTATCATCGGCGTATAGCGTGGTAAAACAGTTTTCCTTCAGGTGCAGCTCTAAGTCATTTACATAAAGTGTAAATAGCACAGGGCCAAGAATTGAACCCTGTGGTACTCCCATGCATACACTACTTAGGTTGGATTTAATTGTGTTTGTATTTTGTAGAGAATTGTGTTTAATTGATACATATTGCATTCGGTTCCTTAGAAAACTATTTAGCCAGCCGTACGCCAGACCTCTAATACCATATCTCTCCATTTTGTGCATTAGTTTACCATGATCAACACAATCAAATGCCTTACTGAGATCACAGAATATCCCAGCAGGACACTCTCCCTTTTCAAGGGAGTCAATCAGGTGTGTATAAAATGCATTTATTGCTGATGCTGTAGAGCAATTAGCACGAAAACCAAATTGGTTATTACTGAGGATTCTATACTTATCAAGAAATGGGCCTAGCCTCTCTAAGAAAGCGTATTCAAAGGTTTTTGACAGGCTACAGGACATAGATATTGGTCTGTAGTTATCGATATGATGTTTATCATTTTTTTTATAAATTGGAACAACCTTGTTTTAAATCTACTATTTTTCGATAAACTATAAGATGGTATAAATCTTGACCATGACATTTGACAACTGTCAACTAACTTAAAACTAACTTCAGCTCGTGACTAAAACGCTAAGTCCACAACTTGTCAAATTGTCATGGAAACATGTACGATAATGGGCGTTTTAAAGGTGGGAGCAGAAAATGGTACATAATGTATCAAGTTTTATAAACGCTATTTTAGTTACGAGTTGCAAGCGAGTGTTTAATAAAAAGCAGGGTCTAGAGAAGTTTATAAAACGTGTTGTATACTATACTTTATTTAGGACGAACATAAATAAGAATTTAAAGTCAGTTTTAATTAATAAATATTCGACATCTGACGAATTTTACCTCACTTTTTCGAAATTTATAACAATGCTCAAAAGCCAATGTTGTTAACTTCAGCCAGTGACTGAAATGCCATAAAGTCACAGCTCGTCAATGTAGGAGTAGATATTAATGTAAATTTTGTAAAGTAAAAATTATGTTTTTATAATTTGAATTTGTTATTAATTTTAAAACAATATAATTTTAACATTTCTGATTTTAGTTTTCTACTCCCAAACAATTATTATTTATAATTAAACAAAATAATAGAAAAACTAAGACCCTTTATAAATTGTGGTTTATAATGTAGTATATATATTTGTAGTGTATTATTTAATTTTAGCGATAAACATAGGTACAATTAGCATAATAGATAAACAGTTAAATGGTAGTATATGTTAACCATTTAAGTAAATTATTTTGTATAAACTGGAATTTATGATAAATAGGTGTAATTTAAAATTTCTTTGAAGAATATAATTGACATTTCTGAAATATTTTTAATGCACCAATCTGTATACATATAAAAACTTTATAATCTGCTTTTGTGAATCAGTAGCAAGTAGCATATTAGGTCATTTTTATGATTTCATTGTATGACTTTAAGCATCGAAGTGGCACTGATAAGTTAATAATACAATTATTTTGACGATATTTTTATTCTACTTTAAAAATATAAATAAAAATTTAATGATACAATATCAGTAGTTAGTTAGTTAGTCGTTAAATACGAAATAGTATATTATGTATCAAGTTTTATAAATGCCATTTTAGTTAAGAATTGTATTAGACTTATCCCCAATTAATATTAAAGCTAACTTCAGCCCGTGACTAAAATGCCCAAAAGCCACTACCTTAGCCCGTGACTCAAACGCCATAAAGTCACAGCTCGTCAATGTAGTAGTAGGAGCGAATACATGGTTTATTTTACAAAAAATTATATTTGCATTTTTTTTTACATTGACATATTAAGGAAAATTGGGTTTTAATAGAAAAACCACTTTTTATCATGTAATATCTTAAAATTTTATAATTTTACTACTTTTAAGACTTTTTTAAACTGCATGCTCTTCAAAAGTTTTAAACATATTAACTTTATTCAATAAATAATACGAAATAAACAAAACAATGCATATTTACCTTTTTTCTGTCGTTTTTTCTCAAATATTAAAATACCTAACGAATACAATAATATTAATTATCTTTCGTTGTTTTTATTTTTAGTTGTTGAATAAGCTGGCAATTCGTCGAGACGAAGATGAAAAATGCATCCAATTTTGTTTGGATACACTGTAGCGTTTCTGGTGCTGGCACTTGGAGACGGAGCGAATTCTTCGCCAGTATTAGAGTACGATAAGGGACTGCGTTACGAAGAGTACCAAGTCGAACACGAAATTTCGGCTTTGCAGGCTAAAAATGCTGTGCTACATATGAACTACACAGGTAAAATATATTTTGTCCATTTCGATGCTACTAAGAGTTCTTAGACGCATCGTTTCCAGTGCTACTACACAGTAAAAAAATATTTGTTAATTTTAACGAAATATTAACCAGATTTTATGTTAGGGTCCACATAACTTTATGTTAAGTTTACAACCAACTGTAATCTGTTAACTAATTAAATACGTAGTTTGTAATTATAACAAACATTTTGTAGATTTAATAACAAAATCGTATGTCAAAAAGAACCTTCTTTTACAAACCTTTTTGTAGACCAAGTAACAAAAGTATTTGTTGGAAATTGGAAACTTAAATGAAAATAATTTTGATAGGAAATATTGCTTTATTTTCTAAACAAAAAATACCTACATTCATACATAAATGAACACAAAAATAACATACACATAATTAAATAATACACCATTCCGAAATCATCAAATTATAAAGAAATTTGGTACAATATCATAGTACTACTACAACACTTACTGATGTATTTCGTAACTTTAACCCACTTCAATGTATCCCGTAATTTTAGTTTGAAAACCTCGTTAAATAGGTTTCTGGTAATATATTATAAAAACTCTGAATAGTTGTTACGAACACGTTACGAATTAGAATTAAGTAAGCAGAAACATAAGTTGCAGACGCTGAAGTCAGTTGAACTTGTTGATGCATATTGTTGTGCTAAAGCTGGATGTATGACGATAAAAAAGTTGGAAATGTTTTGATTGGCTGCCTAAAATCACGAGTAGGTACTTTTTCTACGAAATAATTTGTTAAACATTAACAAAATAATCTGTAACCTTTGAAATTAACAAAATGTTTACAAAATTGAACATTACTTTTGTTAAAATAATTAGAAACCCTGGTTTTCTACAAAAGTTATGTTAAAATTTCACAAAATAAAATTAACAAACTACAAACTCATATTAACAAATCTGATTTTTATAACAGTGTAAAAGCTCATTGGAAGCACAATCCACACAACAAGGTCTGTTCGATCTCGTAGTAAAAATACTAAAAATGACTGCAACACTGCACATCATACGATGGCGGCCATTTTTGTTGTTTACAATTCTTGTGCTTTGGGTTTGTTCAGATCAATAATCGTTTTAAACGTTGTGTTTCTTACAGAGAGACTTGCAAGCCTTAAAAGAGACCTTAGAGTGGTAAGAACAATCATTTTACTCCTCTTTTGTAAAAAATGTACCTGTCATTGTAATACTCGTTTTACAATATTCTATTATTATTATTATCTACGCCTCTAAATGAAAAAATAAACGGTAATTATTTTTGTCTAAGACTTAATTTAAGGTTATTTTGACATTTTGACTTTTTTATTTGATTGGTTAAAAGCAGAGAAAAACGCGTGCGTTAATGAACTTCTTATCTCACTCAAAATGAGTGGGATAAGAAGTTCTTATCCCACTGGCGTAGATAATATTCTATTATTCTTCTAAAACATTGACATCTTAAATATTAAATAGATAGGTATGCAAAATGTCAAAAATGGCGAATGCGCCGGGAAAAATTTACCATTTTGCACAAAATTCATTAAAAAATTTAGTTATACTTTCTCAAAATATTTGTGTAAAACTAACTAAATATTATATATATCATATTTAGATCATTACTGTATATTTTTTAGACCTTCGCATACATAGCAAGAAGTTTATAGTAAACTGATTATGTTTATGTTAAATTAATTAAAGGTAAATCTGTGGGCTAAAAATATTTATTACAGGCAGTAGCATATTTCCATGAAATGTGGGTTATACTAATTAAAATTTTATAAGAATATTTACTTTTTATAAATGTATAATTTAAATGTTTTTGTTTGATCAATAAAAACTGTGGGTTGACGCTTCAGTGATTTATTTATTTATGTTTAAATTGCTATTAATTTCACATTCATTAAAACAATTGCACTTAACTACACATTTTTAGATTATTATAATTTTGAAATTATTCACGACCTTGTCTAAAATTAATTTTGCCTAACAAACTCTTTTTCAAAAAGAAATAAATCTAGAGATGTGTTTTTGTTTCAAATTTAAAATCATGGGGGGGTTTAGTCACACTATTACAATACTTTATAAAAGGTTTGCATAAAACTAACCTTTCATGTGGGAAAAGTACCAACAAGTGTAATATTGATCCTTTTCACCCCATGAAGTTTTATTTTAGATAATAGTGTCCACACTTTACCATGCGAAGCAAATGCGATCAATACTTAAATATGTACATATGTCTATGTATACGTATACGTATAGGTAACATGAGGCAACATTTGTAGAAAACATTTGAAATCATATTTTTATAACCATTAGATAATAAAATCTAAATTAATAGTCCGTTATTATAAACATAATAACAGCTGGTAAAATAGAATAATACAATACATCTGCTTATGATTTTATCTTTTTTTATATGTTAATATTTGTCTTTTTAAAACGCCTATTTGGGTATATATGTAAATATAGATATAAAGGTTATCTATATTTCCTTTATTTATTCCTAAAACCGTGGTTCTTAATTTTTATACAGGGTGTCAAGAAAATGGCACCACACTAGGTGATTTAACCCCCTTTGAATATTTTTAATGTTTAAAAATTAAAAAGTTAAAATTTGTTAATAATTATTTAGAGTAATAACTAATTTTATGTTTATTGAACCAATCAAAACTATTATTTGCATAGCAACCACCCTTTCAAATTCGATAAGACGACAAATTTTTGTTAATTATCCAATAAAATATTCCTTTAGAATTGCCGCGTTATGATCAGAGATAAGAAACCTCGAGAAAAAGTCTTTGGGGTCATCCAGGCCCGTGCGCGTGGGGGGGGGGGGTTGGGGGTCCAATTGAAAGACTAAAAATAAAAAAATATTATACCACTAAAAATTAACCTAAAGAAAATTGAAACTGTTAAAACAAAATAAATAATATTTTTTTTTCGTGTTTAGGAGGGCCCAAAAAACTTAAAATTTGCTCAATATTCTATTATTCAAGAAAAGAAAGAATTGTTTTTACATATGTCTTGTTTTGGTGTTGATAATTCAATTTGAAAGATAACAAAACCAAGCGATTTTTTCAATTTTATAAAAAAAAAGAGTTTTGGCAAAAAAAATCTTCGGCTGACCTCCCCTTTTTTCGCATTTTTCAAAGATTGTAGGTGCCCTGACCACAAAAAAAATTTGTCAGCTCTGTTGCCAATTTTTTTTAAGTTTTTGTAACACTGTTATTATTTTAAATGTATATACAATCATTGTATTACAATGTATATTATACATATGAATCTTTAACACATTAATGATAAAACCCCCCATAAAAAAATCCTGCGCACGGCCCTGGAGGCATCAGATCATAAATGAAATTTTCGGAAAATCGTTTTTTTGTGAACAGAGGTATTGACGATAGGCGCCTCTTGTGTAAAATATTTCAGCTCAATAAAGACACATCGTTGCCAAGTTTTTTAAACTTAAATGCCCAGGTTCTACTTGTTAACATTTGATTTTTTTTTTGCTTATAGGTTTTATTTTCTAATAGTATATTAGGTATCAAGTTTGATAAACGCCATTTTAGTCACGAATTTAATTTTTAATTAAATGGGTGCCTAGAAAAGTTTATAAACGAGTTGCATACTATACTTTTTCTACGACAAATACTTAATATTATCTAAAAAAATATTTAAATTAAATATTTGTATAAAGCTACATCTACCTATAAATAATAAAGAAATCATCCCAGTAAACATTTTTAACGTAATTTTCACCTTTACCATCCGTTATTATTTTAATTAAACTTAACAATTATTGATTCTTTAAAGTATTAGAAAAACTTAGAAATATGATTATGTTAAAAAAATATGTTATCCTTTAATTTTTTTATTACTATAATTGCAAAATATTATCACAAAGTATTAAAAATTTTTACATGGGAAATTTTAAAAGTACAAAAAGTGACAGTTATATTTATTGGAATTCCCGTTAGAATTTCAAACTTGGGAATCTACCGGCGTTAAATTCTCGAATTTTTTTGTGTAAATTATCATTTACCTATCCCTTTAAAATAGACTAACAATCGATATAGAAGCAGTTTTTGACAGTAAAAGAGAAGATAATGTTTTATGGACACTGTACGCAAAATTTTTAACGCTTTATCAGTTAAATCTGGTTGTGTATTACCACGGCAAAATCAAAAGGTCAGTACAAACGTTCATATAATCTTTTTAAATATTGGCGTCAATACTTTTGTATTTTTGTATTGAGATAAAAAAATAATTTTAACATTTAGTATTATTTTACAAGAAAGGCACTTAATTTTTACGAGTGTATGACATTTGACAACTGTCAACTAACTTAAAACCAACTTTAGCCTGTGACTAAAAACCTGTTGCTAACTTAAGCGCCATAAAGCCATAATTTGTCAATGTGTATTTAAAATGTGACTAAGTGACATGGAAATATGTACTGTAATGGGCGTTTTAAAGGTGGGGGTAGAAAAAAATATATATATGGGTGGATACTTTTTCCTATGCCTATTAAAATTAAAATATAAACAAACAAAAGTTGCATGCAAAACATATTGATTTTAAGCAAAAAAGAGCTTAAAATAAAACATCATAATTACATATCACGTTATTTTGTTATTATAATAATTATTCAAAACTGGTATTTTACATTTATTGTTAATGTCTATTAACCTAGGTTAGTTTTCATAGAAACTTATAAATAGCATATGTTTGCATTAAAAATCACATTTAATTCTTAATATAGTCTTTCTGATTATATGACTAATACACCAAAAAACAATACCTACTTATGAAACCTAACAATTCTTATAAAACAATTTAATTGAAAACGATCTGCTCTATTAATTGAAGGCCAACGTTTTTCTGACAAAAACAAAAATAATTTGTTCAATTTATCGACTCTGTCGACCACATAAAAATATAAAAAATTGATTTTGCAATGTTAAAAATAACAACGCAAACGCTAACAATAGGCGGATGCAGGAGTGTTTCAAATAAAATGTTTTAAACCAATACCTAATGGATGCACGCAGACATATTCCCTATTCAGTTAAAACTAATATTGAATATTAATTTCTACAATCACATTAATCAGTGCTGAGTAATTTGATACACTTCATTCACATTTAGTTCTATTTCCATCAAGTGTTTCTAAGAAAAGCAGACTGGAATTCACCAATGATTTGTTCTGGATCAAAGTTAAAAATAGCTAATTAGTGGTGTATCAAAGATCTGCCATTGCAAATTAAATTAAGTGAATTTTAATGGTATCGTTTGAGGTTTAACCTGATTAGATAGGTTAAACGGAAATAAAAAAAATATTTTTGGCTGAAAGTGAGACAGTGGTGGAACTTTAAAATTTAGTTCTCCCTGCTAAAGCCAATGCGTGCCCCCTTCAAAAATGCTAATGTAGTGGTTAAAAGGGTGAGAAAATATTCGGACAAACGTGGAATAAGAAAAACGTCATAATGTATAACATTTATTACATATTTGGCAACAAATTTGAAAATAAGCGACATAAATAAAAATATATATTTTTTTCAATAATTAATAATAATAATTTTTTTCAATAATTATTATAAAGCAATAAATAAATGCCTTGCGTCGCGCTTTAGCATCATCATTTATTATTATATCTTTTAAATTTAGTCTAGAAGCTAAAATACAAAAGATTTGTTTTAAAAAATTACAAAGGATTTTTTATGCAAAAATAAAAAAAAATTAAAAAAATCTTAAAATCAAATCCTAGATTCTTGGAATTTCACAGGTTTTAGAAATTTTTGGAAAAGGTCAAATGTCAAGGTCAGGGGACAAAAGTCAAAATTTCAAGATTCCAAAAAGTTAAAATGTCAACAAGGCATTTAAATATATATTTTATACAGACCAAACGAAAGGGATTGGGTTGGGTTGGGTTGCAGGAATTATTTAATTTTTAACGTCGCTCAAAGGGGGCCAAATTTTTTAGTTGTATTTGTTTATAATTTTTAAGATAAAGAAGAATACATTTTTTTGTAAATGAAAGAAAGGTTAGTTAGGTTAAATTATTCTTAAATAGAGGGCCCATCTCCAACTTTTGGTTTAGGGCCCCTAAAAATGTTAATCCGTCCCTGTCTATTTGCCAGAAATTTAAAAAAATATTTCGATGAAGCCGATTAAGTCGTTAACAATTAAAATTTAGGTCCAAATACAAAATTAAAATGTATCCTCATTTGATTAATTAAATACATTTAGGCTGAAGGACGAAAGTCAATGGCCTTTTGAAAAATGTATTTTTTTCAATAAAGAACATTTATTATTATTATTAAAACATTTATTTATTTTTATAACAAATAAATAAAATCAAATAATAAATTAGTTTTTGTCCCACACTCACATAGAGACATTATACGCTCGAAAACAATGGACAAAGCTATTGCTATTGTGGGTGGTGTAGTGGTCAGAGCTCCTGGGTACGAGCCGAGAGGTCGTGGGTTCGAATTCCACTTGGGTATGGTTGTTTATTTGTGTTTGTCCATTGTGTATAGTCCTTCGGAGGGGACTTTAAGCCGTCGGTCCGTTCCTACCCCTAACCCGCACAAGCCATTCAGTTGGCTTATGGGACATCTTAGTTTGGATGTAAGGGTGGAACTAAAAGAGCACTTTATAACTTTATAACTTTATAACTTTACACTAGTTGAACAATGAAATTATTGTACCACTAGTGGAACAATAAAAAAAATGCTAGTATTGTTGACAAATATTATACAATAAATCATAGGTATTTTTTACATAAATATGATTATAAACATTGTTTACATAGGTATTTGGAATTAAATCCAATAAAGCATCCCAAAATACATAAAACAATGTTAGAAAACTTAACCTTTAGTAACTAGATACCTTAATGATACTTTTGTGAGTAGGGTGCATAATGTCTAATGGAATTGAATTTTAAAGGCAAATTATAATTCTTAAAAAAAAAATGTTAAAAAACTTAACCTCAAATAATTTTTACAAAAGTATTAATTTTTACTTAATTTTTTATATGATTTTGGGACAAAATAGTATGTGTTACGCTCGCGTGCCAAACAAATGCTGGATTATAATCTACCATTTTATATTTCGAATTCTTAAACAATTTGTTTATAAAATAATCAATAAAGGATTCGTATAAAAAATCCAGCTTGCCAGGTTTAAAAAAGAAATTTTGTTGACAAAAATTAAAAAAAAAATTGATAGATATAGGTATTGTTTTTTTCTATGAAACACCCTATATATTTGATATTACAAAAATATATAATTTGTATAAGTTTGAGTTAAACATTTGATTTACAATTGACTCAAAAAACAGGGTTATTTTAACGTGCTATGGAGAACTAACTTCGTAATATAACCATATTTTTTAACAAAACGCTAATAAATATTTCTTATTTTAGGGTAAAAGTTCTTTATCCATGGCAATAAACTATATATTTCTGACACCAGAAGAAAAAACTCTATTTAAGTATTCAAAAATATACAGGGTGTTTCATTACAAAAACAATGTTAATGATATGATATGGTACCTATTTTATTAAATTTACCGATACTCTTTTGGTTTTAATTTGGTTGTTAAAAAATTACATTTTTAAACCAAGCAAGCTGGATTTTAAATACTTTTGATATCTCGAGATCTTCCAATAAAAATTTAAAGAAAACAATCTTTTTAAACACGCAGAAATATTTTTTTTCGTAAAACCATAATAAAAAAGTTTTTTCCATTGGCATGGACACACTGTATATTGCATTGCGATACTTTATTTACGACTTTCTGTTTGAAAGTTTTAGAAGACGAATAATTAAAACAAAGCAACCGTGAGGCCTCGACATAAGTATCAGATTTTATATGTGAAAATGCTTGTTCTAACGAACCTCATGCAATTTCCCGAGAACCCAGGAGATTTAATCAAGATTATTGTTATATAAGATCGCGAATTTAGAATATAATATTCATCCTTACATAACTTAAGGCCATGAGTAAAGGCAGTAATTATTGTTGACCACTTTGTGACTTCTTAAGAGCAAAACCGTCAACAAAACAAAACATTTAAAAAAGTATAAATTAAAAAAATCAATAGGTTACTTTGAGTTTTAAGTGAATAAAAACAAATTTTATATTTGAAGGTACTTCCTTTTTTGGCCGATATTATTATTTATATATTATGAATCAATCAAAAATTAAATAAAATATTTTTTTTAGAAATACCATTGGCAGGATGTCAACCTTGTACAGCACATGAAAAGAGTTATTGCTTAGGATCGGATTTGGTCAATGACCATTGTTGTTGTGATAGAAGATACCATGGTAAGTAAAAAATAACAAAAACTTAATTAAAAATTTTAAAAATTGCCAAACAAATAGTCATAACTTAAATAATTAAATTAAGAAATTAACACCTTTAAAGTAATTCCAATTTGAACAATACTCTCATTTAAAGTAAAGCAAAATTTAATAAAATAAAATTGGTCATCGCTTTTTAGAAATGCGTAGGAGAAACTAAAGACACAATTGTCAACATGAACTAGAAAAGTTCTGTAGTTTCTACTATTTATTTGAAGTGATACTGCATTTCATCAATTAACCCTAATTAAAAAAGGTCTAATTAATAACAATCAACAATTGCTGCGAATTTACTCAATTCCAGATAAGTCACAATTTATTTATGAAGATGTTACCACAACATTTGTAATTTTTGGATTTAATTTAAAAATATATTACTTAATATTGCACGACTTCTTTTAAATAATCCCTATTACAATGTATTTTAAACGATTACTTTAAAAACAAAGAAAAAAAAAATATATAGTTTGTATTTCTATAATCAATAATTTAATACATATGGCATTAGGTTAAGAAATATGATACTTCAATTAATTGATTAAGTAGTTACTCATACAAAATGATGCATCTATTAGTATTCATCTACAGCGGGAAATAACACAACCGTAATTTTAATGCACTAAAAATGGCAATGTTACAAGAGATTGACCCTATCCAAAGTAATAGATAAACTTAACATTATAAAGTTTCAAAAGTATCTATGAAATGATCTAAGTTAGTTAGTTATTTTTTTAAATAAAATTGACAAAGTTGTCATGACATTTTTGTTAATTTAAAAGTATTAACAGGAAACAGTAGATTTGTTCTGTAAATGAAGAAAAGTGAGTGGAAAAATTTCAAAACAACCTTTTATCATTTACTGAAATATTATTAGGAAGCGAGAATTTAATTACATATAAAATAGGGTGGGTTGTTTTTAGCTTTTGTACATTATAAAAAAAGAAAATTTTTCAAAAATAAAAATTTTTTTTACTCAAAATCTTGAGGTGGCCCACTCGTTTTTTAAATAAATATTTAATCAAATGGGGTAGTTCCAACGGGAAATTTTCGTTCTAGAAGCCAATTGGAAGTCAAAAGTTGAAAAAGTTTTTTTTCCATTGTTTTTGTAATTTAAGTAAAAAATTAAAAAATGAAATGCCCTTTCTTTTGTATTAGAATGAAAGTTGAATGAAAAAAATCACATTCTACAACTTTTACATGTTTTCCACGATTTTGGACCAAAAATAGAATTTCCCATTGGAACTACCCCATTTGATTAAATATTTATTTAAAAAACGGGTGGGCCACCTTAAGATGTTGAGTAAAATTTTTTTTCTTTTGAAAATTTTTTTTATAAGGTAAAAATTCTACCCCCATGCTAAGTAAAAAAAAACAAACATTTTGTTTTCAACCCACCCTAATATAAAATATTTTAACTAGGCTGGTGTCATGTAAAAAGCCAATTTTTGTTCAAGATTTCGGGTTACTAACAAAAAAATCTCTTAAACATGAGGCAGTGTCAGTTTTTGTCATCCATTTAATTGATGGTATAATGGATGGTTTGGATGCAGAGACATTCTCCAAAATACAATGATAAATGGGAAATGCCCCTACGATTCATTTTTCAACAAGAGAATGATTCAAAACACAAGTTGCGAGTTGTTACGGGGTGGTTAACACGGGAAAATAAGTTCTGAATTGGACTGCAAAATCACCTTTCCTAAACCCAATAGAATATCTATTGGAAGAGATTGAAAGTCGTTCAAGAACCCAAACTTATAAACTGTTAATTAGTTAATAAAACGTTGTTGTTTTTTGTTTTTAAAACTGCGTTACTTTTGTCAGATCAAAAAATTAAAATAATTAAAAAAAACACATAACAATAAACTAGTCTTAATGGCCGCTTATAACTAATGTCATTTAATTATTACCATAAAACTGGGGAATTCCAGTTTTAAATACGCACAAAATGAAATAATATTTTTTTTTTCAGTTCGTCACTTTACCTTTGTTTAATAGTGTAAGAAGTTTTGTAATAGTATATTAAAGAACTAAAGTCATAAGGTCTTATGACATGAGTTCTTTATGATATATTATCTATTTTTCAAAAATTCTATAAAAAAAATAATTTTATACCTTATAAATACAGCTCTTTCATACTAATCATCATATGCATCGCTAATGAGATTTTTTGCATTATTATCATTTAATTTTTTAAGTCTTTACCTGCTCGACCTTTCGTCATGTCGTTTATTACACAAGCAACTGTGATGCGCCTTGGAGGGAGGCGAGGCCACGCCCCATATATATATATAGATATATTCGGTTTTATTCTAAACAGGCTGTATTTAACTTGGTCGAATTTTACTTTAGTTAGTTGGTATCACAGTCAATTTATTGCCAGAAAAGTACTAGAAAAAACTTAAAAATATTATAACCAAAATGCAAAATATTATTTTACTAGTATGCTGTTTAAAGTAGCCAACCTATAAAATCAAAATTTTGGGTGGGGTAAAGTACCTCATTACAGCACCAAAAGTGGTGTTACAATGAAGTCATTATGAACGCAAAATAGATAAAACTTTTTTATTTATAAAATTATAAAAATATCTTTAAGTTTAAAAAAATCGGCAACGCTGAAATTTTACATTACATTTACATCCAATATCGATTGACATGAAAACAAGTACCTACCAGTAAAAAATAAAAACATTTTTGAAATGTCGAAAATATTACACGCATAGGTTTTTTTTCTCACTCAGTTCATAAATCTCAACGAGAACAACAGAGTAAGATTTAATTGACAGATTTCATTTTTGTCATTTTTTTAAATATATTAAATTTAACTTTTACAGAAAAATCTTGATAAAAAATAAATATTTTTTCTAGTTTGGCCAATATAAAAAATATAATTATTTAAGTTTGGGTCGTTGAAACATTGCAATATCCCAATTTTATAGATAACAAACGAAATATTGTTTTATTTGGCATGTTGTATATTTTTATCGTATTAAACTATTTTAAATAAACATATTTAGGGCCTAAATAATTTTCTATTGTATTACATATTGTATAATATTATATTGTATTGTACGTAGATAGTCTTTTATTGGCTGTTTTGAAATTAAATATTCAAAACCCGCCACTCCGATTATTGCTAAAATAAAATAAAACCTAGTATCCTGAACACGAAAGTGCTTTTTGCCTTGCATGTTAATAATAATATCAACCAATTATATTGTTTGACCTCCTCAAAATAGCTTTGCGTGCTTTTCTTTTAAATTACCTAAATTTCTTTGTAATTATGTGTTTAAAACCTTGTTAGTTATGTAAAAAATATGTATTTATAGTTATAATTAAGTGCATTTATTATTTGGATTTAACAATGGATGTAATTATTTATAAAAAATATATGGTTAGTTAAATATATAGAATAATAGATAAATAGTCAAATAAATTACCGTTAGGGGACATCCATTAATTACGTGAGGCATTTTTCTGATAATTTGGACCCCCCTCCCCCTTGCTGGGATTTGGAGAGATAAAGTAAATCTCCCTATCCCTTACGTAAGATTCTAGCCATTAAACTCTCTTGGACAACATGACAAGCCACAAAAAAGAAAAAAATGAATTTTTTTTTAACAATTTAAATTTAAGTTATAATAATATATATTCTTTAAACTCAAAAGTTGACGTGAGATTTTAAATGACCCCCCCCTTAAAATGAGATTAAGTGAGATTTTGCTATATACAGGGTGTTTCAGAATAAGATGCTGATCCTTAAGGGTGTGAATCCTTAGTTGATTTTAAGAAAAAAAGTTCAAATAAACCTATGACCTAAACCTCTAAATTTTTGAGTTACAGGGTGTTAAAGTTTTAAGAAAAAAATCGTTTTTTTAACATAACTTTAATAACTTCGTAGATATTTTTATAAAATTGGCACACGCCTTCTAAGCATTAACAGTAAGTTTTTGATGTAGAAGATTTTTTATTTTTTTTACCAGTGGCGTCCGTACAGGATGTGGTCTAGATATTTTTGGAAAAATATTATGCACGCCACTGCTATTTTTCAAAATATTTTTTTTTTAAATCCCCATTCATTTTAGGGCAAATTTGATTTCTTGACCATTTTTCGTACGACTAACGGTTTTCGATGAAAAAAATAAAAAGCACTTAATGCGCATATTGAGAAAACAATGCCATGATTAAATAAACATTAAAATTAAATTTAATTATAAAATAATTTTAAAAGAATTAACATTAAATAACGTAAACAAAAATAATTTAGATTAGCTGTTGAAAGTGGCCACCACCTGCAAGTATGCATGCTTCAGCTCTTCTCCTCATTGAGTTTCGTACCTTTAGAAAAATTCCTGGAGTATTTCTGATAGTGTCACAACAAACTATTATGCGGTTTCTCAACTCCTCCTTAGTACTTATTGGTTATTAAAGTTATGTTAAAAAAACGATTTTTTTCTTAAAACTTGTAACACCCTGTAAATCAAAAATTATGAGGTTTAGGTCATAGGTTTATTTAAACTTTTTTTCTTAAAATACCCAAAAGCCAATGTTGTCAACTTCAGCCCGTGACTAAAATGTCATAGTCACGTAAATGTGTTAGGTATATCATATATGATTGTTATTTTGTAAATATTTTAAAACCAGTACATTTGTTTTATAAGTATAATATAATAGAAATTTTAACGTTTTAAATATTTTTATTTTTTTCAGAATTTTTCCCATTTATTCCACACACGTGTTATTTGGGTTCGACGTTATGTTCAACAGTGGCACCAAATTGTGCGGAATATACGCGATTACGAACCTGTTGCTGTGACAAATACGTTTTGGAAAAATGTAAGTTTTTTCTATTATCTTTTTAATGGAATTTATACAAATATAAATTTGACACCAAGGTTAATTGTATTGTTTGTCGTACAATTAAAAAAAAAATTCTATGATAAAACAATAGAATTACAGTATAATTTGTTATATTTATGGTATACCATTTCTAGTTTCTAAATATTTAATAAAGTTCATAAACATCTAGCAGGTCGTTGTCTTTAAGTAATAGTAATTATAAATTGATTTTCTTGTTTCAGGGAAACAAAAATCGGAAGGATCAACGTCCTGCATTGACTCCTGGAGAACAACCAAACTTCTAACTTGTCTATTTGTTGTATTATATTTTTATAATCTTACTTAATTGTACCAAAGCAAACGTTTTATTTTTCTTAACTTAAGCAATAAATGTTTACGTTGTTTGTGCGTGTTTCGATTTAACAAAAGAGATTTGAAGATGTAGATAAGAGCATAAAATCAAATTTATTGGTATTGAAAAAATTATTAAACTTTTTACCTACCTAACTACCTGTAATTAAAAATGACGATAATTTTCAATTATACTTTATTCCGTTACTAAACAATTAGGCTGTCAAAATTTAACAATCATGGTCAGTGGCGTTTAGGAAATTTTCACCTAACTTAAATAATGTTAAACATATTATGTAAATCATATTTTCCAAATTTATGGGTGCATCCAGGGATTTGAATTATTTAAGGTAAAGAAAATCGGGGTGAATAATCTATTTTTAGTTTTCAAGGTTTTTCTTATCGATAACGAACAGTTAAATTTTTTTTAATGAAAAGAAACAGGATTTTATTTAACAATTAAAAACACTTTAATAAATAAAAAATGTAGTATTGTCTAACATCCTACAAACCGGTACATTGTCACTTTCTCCCTTATCTTAAAATTGAGTTGGATTTTCGTAAGTAATATCATAAGGGCATCTAATTTTTCCGAATAAAATCAAAAAAACACGTTGCTAAGTAATATTTTAACAAGAAGCATGAGTGCTGGTGGCAACAAAAATCCGAGTAGAAGAGGAGGATTTTTGCACCTGCACGAATGCATTTTGTTAAAAAATATTACTTAGCATTGTGTTTTTTCGATTTTTTTCACAGGAAAAATTAGATGCCCGAATGGTATTTGACAAGACTATTTCATGAGTAACCGTTAAAATATAAATTGCAATTTTTGGTGACAACAGCTGTCAAGTTTTGCCGCGGGCACGGTCTTATATACGTATATAAGACCGTGGCCGCGGGTAAACTTGAAAAAACTGCTGACAGTTGCTGTCACACAGTTTTTTCACCTAGAAACCATTTGTAATTCAAAATTGCGCGTTTGTGATTGGTGGAAATTAAGACGATGGAAATAGTCACCTAGAAACCATTTGTAATTCAAAATTGCGCGTTTGTGATTGGTGGAAATTAAGACGAGGGAAATAGTCGATTGTAAATGGCAGCTACTTCTTGTATTAATAATAATGTTTATACAAAAAAATATCACAACAATTAGGTACAAAAATTACATATTAGTGGGTGAGTATCAATCTAAATTCCCTTTTAAAAGTTGGAAATTAAGACGAAGGAAATAGTCGATTGTAAATGGCAGCTACTTCTTGTATTAATAATAATGTTTATTAACAGCAAAATTGGCACAATATAAATAGGTACAATAATATAAAAAAGTCATAATAGTAAGATAAAAAACAAGAAGGTACAAAAAAATATCACAACAATTAGGTACAAAAATTACATATTAGTGGGTGAGTATCAATCTAAATTCCCTTTTAAAAGTTCTAAGTGGTATGTTAAAAAAATGTATGTCTTAGCTATTAGCACTTCTGCACATTCTATCAAATGAGAAAAAATAGCCATAATTAGTAGAATGTTGCCTTATAAGTAAGATGACCAACTTTCTAAAATGAAAAACCACGACACAACATGCCCCTCCTCGCCCTTCCAAAAAATAAAACAAATTTATTTATTTATTTTTATTTAATGTTTATTATTTGAACAAAATAACGTCAATAATTAAAAAATTATCCTGGAGGTACTCCCAAAAATTGAGATTTTTAATTTTTAATCTGAGCCCCGACCACTTTTAATAAAACAATTAGAAAAAATCCTAATAAGAGGGAAAACTCATAATTTAAAAAAAAATTCAAACGAGGTCGCTCGCTTAGTTACCATGGAAACCATAATAAAGAAAGGTTTAGTGTATTTGTGACTTTTTACACAAAAGTCAAATTTGAGGTTATCAATAATTATTAATTTTTACCAAACATTCTTATAGAAACACCGGTTGTAGAAAAAATCCTGTGTGTAATACGACCGCAAAGTGACATTTCCGCTCTCGCGAGATAGCCGCGCTCACTGTATCACTATTGATTCACTCAACGGTATCACTTTGCGCTCTTAATACACAAATAACCATTTTAACCTAAGCCCCGACCACTTTTAATAAAAAAGTTAGAACAAATCCTAATCCTAAAATAATTTAAAAAAAATTCAAACGAGTTTACTATTCTAAAGGTACCTACTCAAAAATTCAGATTTGTAAATTAATTTTTGAACTTGGGCACCGACCAAAAATAATAGTACAATGCCTAAAAAGTTTTACTTATTTTTTTTTCAAACCATGTTTTTTCTTACTTTTTTACTCTTCAAAATGTACTTCCAAAGTTTAAGTTTTTTGATTAATTTTTAACCTGAGCCCCGACCGTTTAAAAAAAAATCGTCAATAACCTCAATAATAAAAAAAATTGTATGTGTAAACCAGGACCAAATCTGCAAAACCAGGACAAAACCAGTACACAATTAAAACCAGGACACATTAGCAAAAACCAGAACCTGTTCTGGGTAAACCAGGACGGTTGGTCACCTTACTTATATGGAATGCAAATTCATTCTCAGGGATTTATTAAAAATATACTGCTAACAATATCAACACAATTCTATTTCCAATCTATTTCCTTTCTTCTTAACGATTGTAAATTCATTTTAGACCTATCACAATTCATCAACATTCAACCACAAAAATGCAAGAATTTATTCTGCACCCGTTCTATACAATGTATATGGCTATCACAATAAGGAGACCACACAATAGTATTGTACCCTAGCTAGATATCTAACTAAAGAAACAAATACACTTATAAAACAATTAATATCATTGATATCTCTAATTTGTCTCTTTAAACCCCATTTGCAACCCTCTGCTGGCTTTAAAGATATATATATATATATAGATATATAGATATATATATATATGTATACATGTATGTGATCCCTAAAAGAAAATTTGTTATCACTAGTAATGCCCAAATCCTTTATATTACTGACAACTTCCAAAGAAGTGTCAGCAATTTTATAGTCATAGTGATAGTTTTCTATTGGTTTGAACAAAATCACTTGGCATGTTTAAAACAAAATGTTTTAAACAAGACATTTAAAACTCTAACATAACTTGTAATGCCCAAATCCTTTATATTACTGACAACTTCCAAAGAAGTGTCAGCAATTTTATAGTCATAGTGATAGTTTTCTATTGGTTTGAACAAAATCACTTGGCATGTTTAAAACAAAATGTTTTAAACAAGACATTTAAAACTCTAACATAACTTGTGGATATACTCAAATAAAACATAATTTGGTGACAAATTCAATGGTGCCACAATAAATATATTATTTTATTTAAATACACGGTACGGTTGTTTTTCTAAACGTGTCCGTTTAGGAAGGGTCGGCCTATTTAAAACAAAATATTTTAACCAAACGTTTTAAACAGTTTAAAAGAAAGTTCTTAAAAACAAAAAATAAAACGTTTTCAAAGTACAAACCACAACATTTACTAAAAATATTAGATTTTTGTTGGTTTGGTTTATCGTTCCATGTTTTAAACGTGTTTTAACTTAAACATAAACCATATACTTAAAAAACTGTTTTAAACAAAAACACATTTTTTTTTAATATGTTTTTTGCCAACCCTGCTTGGCATAGATTTTGTCAATTGCAGCGAGAAGTAAAAAAAATGAATGTATTAATAATAAATAAAAAAAATTACTTTACCTTTAAAACGCCCATTTTACATTGTACATGTTTCTACTTGATCTTTTAAATAACTGCTGATTTCGGGATTTTAAGTCGGAGTTAGCATTTGACAGTTGTCCTGATAAAGACTTTAAGACACTTAGTGGCGTTTATCTTGATACATAATACATATACCACGAGTATAAAATGATATTAATTTATAAATAGCTTTATAAGAGCGCTTTTCTTACCTCAGGTGAAATTTAATTGTTTGGATATACCTCGTTATCTATCTGTCAGTTTAACCCTAAATGAGTCTTTTGTATTTTAAATTACAAGCTTTATAAATAAAAAAGCATATATTGTATTATTTTTAGAAAATCAAAAAAAACTTTTTAAAATTATCATTATTAAAAATTATAGGTATTGCAAATTTGCCAAAACCCAAAATGCTACACCACTGTCTGATTTAAAAAATATCATTTCGATTCGATCGCAAACGCCTAAGCGGGTTCGAAATACAGTTACATGTAAATGCCTGGAATTAATTTATAAGATGAAATCAGTTGTGGCTGATCAGTATAACACGTTGAACCTTTTTACAATTCAAACATGAGAAAATTTGCGGTATTTGTTTTTTTATTTGCGGTTTTTGAACTTTCAATTTCAAAAAGTAAGTAAAAACACAGTTGCAGTTTTGAACTAACACTAAATTAGATTTTTATTTAACAATGTTTATGCAATTATTTAAATAGTTATTTATTAAAATCCTTTTTAGCAATATTTGAAAATAGTATAGAGCCTTTGGAACCTTCCCTAGGATTTAGCAACATACCTATTTTTGCGAATATGTTAAGAAGAAGATGCCCAGTTTGTGATTCATCAGTTTACAGTTACTGTAGTGATAAATTGTTCCATGATTCTTGTTGTTGTCATAATCCCAATAACCCCTATGGTGAGTATTCTATAAATACACTGGTCAACCAAAATCAAAGCAAATATTGCTTTTTATATAGTTAATTAAAATGCTTGGCCAAACTAACGTGATGAAACAAAGCTGTAAAAAAGTTCCAAATTTTGCTTACTTGAAAAGTAATACGCGAATTATAAAACTGCGATTATTGTGAGATCAAAGTAAAATAAAAGAAAAAAGAAGTTTAGAAAATATTTGTGTTTTTTAAATTTGATTACTTATTGTTAGTTCGTTTTTTAAACATTACCTTGTTGCTCTTGAACTAAAAATTATTAATTATAATTAATTATAATAATTATAATAATTATTAACCGATCCAAATGAGCCAACGATTTTTGAAGTTGAAAGAAAAATTAGAAATAAGTATTAAAAATCTCCTCATTAATATCAAGTCACGTTATACAAATTTTTGGGAAAAATTCATTTGTTTATTAACAATGTACGATTAAACATTTTTGCACTGTTTGATTAAAAAATCAATATCTTGTAAAATATTTATAAAAAAAATATATGAAAATTTTAGAGCATGTTACAATGAGCTCATCATTATCGTGCTATTTGTTATTGCTAATTTATATATTTTTTTTATCTATTTTGCGTTCATAATGACTTCATTATAACACCGCTTTCGATGCTGTAAGAGATACTTTATCCCACCCAAAATTTTGATTTTAAAGATTGGCTATACTTTAAACAGCATAATATTTTGCATATTGATTATAATATTTTTATGATTTTCCTACTACTTACGAGACTTTTCTGGCAATAAATTATGTTTAACACCAAAGAAAATATATATTTTTTTTAACATTAACAGTCGCTTATTGTAAATAAGTAAATTAAGGACGGCATGGCGAATCGATTTTGACATTTACTTTCAAACTAATTACTGTGATACCAACTATCTAAAGTAAAATTCGACCAAATTAAATTTAAGGTATAAAATTAATTTTCTCGATTTTTATGTAAGAATGTCATATTCTCGCACGCAAAATCGTTGAAGAATGAAGCTCATTCTTAAACGATTTTTGGTAACATTTAGTTTTTAAGTATTGGTACCCCCAAAATGTCAAACTGATTAATAACCTCAAATTCATTACTTTTATTGAAAATGAAGCCTTTATTATTGTTTTGTAATATAAAGTTTGCTCCAACAATGCATTTTAATGCAAAATTTTAAGTTTAATGTGTAAAAGTGCAGTTCAGGTTGTACTTGTGCAGGATAACAAATATTGTCATTTTGTGTTGCCAACTGACATTTTGCGAGAAAAATCCCCTAACTAACAACGACCACAAAACAATTAAAAAAACCAAAATAAAAGTTAAAATCGAGAAAATAGTATAAATCACACGTTGCAGAAGGCTATTCTCGCACTCATTCGTTCGTCCACTCGCTCCTTCGTCGCTCGAGGCCAAATTTCGAATTCGTGCGAGAATATGTGGCCTTCTGCAACTTGTACTTTAATATACTATTTTTATAGAATTTTTGCAAAATAGATAAAATGGACGGCTTTCTGCAGAATGGGACCAACCCACACCATGATGAAACTGAGAAAAAAGCTATCAAATATTTTAATAATTTTAAAATTACCTGTTAATTTTATGCCGATTTTGGACTTACGGAGGTTTAAGGGATATAATTTAATAATTTCATCAGGTGGATTTTGTGATGTTATATGTAAGGGTGACGAAAAAAATGGGCTTTTGTTGGTTGGTTCCTTTCTGCAATTTATGAAAACTACTATCTGATGTATGTATGTATTTAAAGAAAAGCGACAATTATTTATTTCCAAACAAAATACAACTGATATTACTATTATAATGGTAATATGAATTAATTTTGATTCTATTTGAAATTCGTCCACATCATCTTCCAACCCCACCTCATCTTGTAAGCTACCAAAAAAATGCATCAAGACTTTATATTTTGCAGAAGCAGGAAATCTTTAAAGACTTTGGTAGTGGGTCTACCAGCCTGCTTTTTTACAAAAAAGATCCAACCCACTTGCAGATATTCTACAGATTCTAATTCTGGATTAGTAATCCACACTATTATTGAATGTTGGTTGGTTCAATGATTAATAGATTTCACTACACTTGCATTTTGGCTATGACCTATTTTGCAGATAAATTATACACACTTAATTAGTTCATAGGTTAAATATCTCGATTTTTTTGGTTTTGAGGGTTGGTTCCTTTTTGCAGAAAGGCATCCAAATAGCATAAAGAACTCATGTCATAACTTTTGTCGCATTCGTACATTTACGTCAAATTTTAATAAAATTTTATTACCGTATTCTTGTGATCTTGATCTTGGACTTAATTTAATTTTAATTTATTTGGCGGCGATTTTATAAGAGTTTAAATAATTTAAATCTTGTTAAAGTAGGTAAATTTAAATCTAAAATAATTTAAAATATCATTATGAAATTTTAACACAAGTTTTATCTTGATTCTGTACTTTAAAATTAAAGCAATTTTATACTGTTTTAAATATAAATATCAAAAAATATTTTGTAAACATTTTTTAATGTATCTTTTTAAAATTTTAACAAATATTTTGTGTGTTAATAACCTTGATTCCTTAAAAATTTTAAAAATGGGTCACGTAGTATGGGTACATTCCCTAAGAACTTTTTGCAGTTTTGTTTCATACACCCTTGGTTAGCATAAACAAACATACATACCCATTGGGGTATTACCCAAGCTTGTCAATGATGATATTTTTGGACGAATGTTCTGTTAATTTTAAAGTTAATAAAAAAGAAATGTACATTCGTTGCCCTTATGTTTTTTAATGTATTTTGGCCTGCTTAACTCGAAAATTACAATATTTTTTTATGGCAAGGTTTTCAAGATATAATTTTTTATTGGTTTTTCAAAGATAGCTTTACAATTTGGGTCATATCTCGAGTTAGAAACGGCCAATATTGTTGCAAAAGGTGTCAAATTAAACATCAAATCTCCAAAAAAATATCACTCTATTAATGCCCAATAATATAATAATAATTATATTTATTTTAGATCGAGTACCATACCAATGTATGTATGCAGATTGTAGTTTTCTACATGCAAATACCTGCGCAGAACATAAACTTATTACTGCCTGTTGTTGCACAAATTTGTATAAAAAATAATGTATTTTATTGAAATGTTAGTGTTCAGTAATTATTTATTGGTTAATTTTAAGAAATTTGTTCGAATTATTGCACGATATTTTTAATAAAAAAAATTACAAAATATTAATAAAAATAAAAATTAGGTCGTGGTTTTATTTTACAAACTTCTACCTGGGATTAAAAAATCGCTAAAATGGCGAATGCGCTGGGAATATAAAGCCTAATTAAAATTATTTTAAACAAATGAATGGTATTATTAGAGCAGGGGGTATTTTTTTATTTTGAATGATGGTATCACAAAATATACGTTTAAAACAGTTCATATTGGGTATTTCTATTTTTAAACGCAGGTGTCCTAATTATAGGGTGAGTGATGAAAACAAAATAATTTTAGAGGGGCCATACTTGAATTGTGGGGTATAAAATATGGTGAAAATTAGCGTGATAAAACAGCCCCTTATCTTTATGCATATTTATTTATTTAAGTTAAATTTTACGCAGGAAAAAAACCTAAAACACAAGATAACAAAGTTTCCTGTTATATTCATAAAACACTAATTATAATGTAACTATACTTTTATTTTTAATAAATATTACAATCGACAAAAAGGAACTTATTAAACATTAATGATTTTTACAATCGAGATCATTTATGAACAGCACAAATTTAAATTATATCAGTCTTAAAATAAAAATAAAATAAAATCACAAATAATGGCAATAAGAAACACACTCGGTCAAAGATATACAATGTATATTATACATACCTAAAATAAAAATTTTCAATAAAATAAAACATATTTAAACTTTATTTGATTACCATTTTTATACAGGCAAACTTATAACTTATTATTATCAAATTGTGACTTTTTATTTTACAAACTTGTTTAGAAAATTGTTTTCTATCCTTTTATACGAAATAAAGAAATAAAATTTAGTTCATGACTACTCGTCGGAATATGTTTTTGTATTTTTTTATACATAAAATAAACCCCTATCCCCTTATACGCTGGATGTATAATATACACCCAGCGTATGGTGCACTAAAACTGTATATCTTAGACAATATTTTTTTCTAAATTGCAATACAACTTTTTTTTGCTTCTACTTTGCCCTGTATGTTTCAAAAGTTCATTAACAAAGCATATAAACGAATTATATTTTAGGGGCCATCCATAAAGTACGTCACACATTATCAAGGTGATGCCATACTTTTTTGCGTTGTATATTATAAACTAAAGTAAATTAATATAGGTTTGTAATAAATTGATCTATATCGACTCAATTCCATGCTTATATTACAAAAAATATTGCGTTTCAAGGGCGAGTTTAAAGTTGACGCTTTTTTTAAGACCATGTAGAAATCGAAACTAAAGCTTCGAAGAATTTCTTGCAGCCATTGCAGACTGTAATTTACAGTGGAGAGCATTGCATTGTAAAATTTGTAATTTTTTATGGTTATGTTTTTTTGCAAAACTAGCCAGGGCCTGCCTCAAAATTTAATTTAACTTTAAAAGGCTGTTTCTCTCTTATTCTTAAGTTTTGATAAAAATATTACAAACATTTTTTGTTTGTGTATTAGATTTCGTCAACTTAAAACTCACCATTTATTATATTATATTGTCTTTACAAACATTAGAGACATTACAATATAAAATTATATTAAAGCCAGTTAAATTAGGTGAAGATTCTAAAGTCCTTAAGCCTGATTTATAGATTGCCTTCCTTCCTTCCTCACGAAAAAGATAAACATTACAAAAACAATTTTGCTGTTTATAGATTCCCGTACGGGAATGAATGGCACTACGATTTTCGTATTGTTCATCGTTTACGGGAGGAAGGAAGGAAGGAAGGAAGGCAATCTATAAATCAGGCTTTAATGTTATTATGCCGCAATGCTTAAATGTATTAATATTAATTTACACATGTTATACATATATTAAATTTTAATAGATTGTCTACTTTTTATTTTACAAAATCCAAGGAAAAATTAGTATTAAAAAGTTGGTTAAACAAGTTTATAATAAAAATATTTAGAGCAATAATTTACGGAAATATTAATTTATTATCCATATCACAAGTCGGTTTAATCATTTTATCATGATTAAATTTTATAGTGCATACAACCGTATTAAAAATTTAAAGAGGCAGAAAACCTACTCTATTAAAATTTTAAATTCCTGATATGCTTAATTCTATTTTATTTTCTGTTTAAATATCTAAATACATACTTTAGTTAAAATTACCAAATACTTGTGCCCTTAAGCTTGCAAATTCGTATCACTAACCCTTAATAAATAAATTTAGATATAGATTATTGACTATATATATCTTTCCATGAACATGGAAAGCGCGGTATACAAATTTCATTTTATTTTTAAGAAAGTTTAAAGTAATGAAAACTTATTTTTTTTGAAAATGGTTTCGCTTAAAAGTTTCTAAACCTTTTTAAAAATGAAACGTTTTATAACAAACTTTTTTTAAAGGCAGCCGTGATTGTGCTCTTTAACGTCCAATCGTATTTGATTATTAAATTTATGATTAAAGCCTACTTTTTATCAGCGATTCTAATATTATTGGTCGTGAGTTTCTAAATAGTTAATATTTAAATTTAAGAATATAAGCAGTTAGAGTTTATACGCAAAATATCACAAAAATTTGCCTACTTGAAAATTCCAAGTTTAACAAATGCCTTTCATTTTTATTATACTTGGATATAATAATAAGTAATTATTATAATCAGTAAATTTGATATTTTTACTACCTTGTCTGAATTATTTAATCCAAGTTGAATAATTTAAATCCAATTACTTAGGTATTTTCCTAATTTGATATTAATTAAAAATTATATACGCGGTAAATAAATAAAATTCCAATTTTATTTTGATTTATTTACAGAATTTTGGGGGCAACTTATCAAAAGGTGTGTTAGTATCATAAGAGATGTGTTCTAAAAGTAATGGGAATTTTTGTTGTTCTCAACTTGTATTATTAGTCCGATTTGCATTTTCTTGTTGTACTGTTGTCTAAAATATATTGGGGGGGCGATAGCAATCGATCGATGGTCAAAAATTGTACGATTACTTTTGAATTCTGTATGGGGGTGCACATGCTCATGTGCGCTTATGGAGAAATCACCACCGGGTAACATATATGTATAATACCCTTAGAACAAATACCGTACTTTCATTTTACATGTAGACAGAGTCTGTCTGACAGACCGCATTCGGTTTTTAAGAGTGAGAGACGCCGAGAGACGGTTTTTGTAATTCAGCAGTAGACCCTACACCGGCGTTGAGCCATAGTCGAAGTTTGCTCTAGATTATTAATACAAATTACGCATTATTAAGTTAAAATGTAACGTAAGCACTTCTAAAAGTAAAATATTAATTAAAGGTGTAAAATCATTATTTGTTTTGCATTTAACTAAAAGTGTTTTCTAATACAAAAAAAGTCGCCATTTGCAACAACTAAGTATGACTCATTTTTGGTGGTACATTATTTATCAAAGAAGTATGCCCACGGCCGTTACAATATGCAACCATCATTCTGGACGCTGTTTAGTAAATGCTCCTTCCTGTTGTTTTTTCTTCTAAGGAAAATACGGTATGCCCACAAACAGGAAATTCCGATTATTTTCTGAACACAACTCGTAGCATCAATTACACATCGCACATGGGCGACAACAGTGTCATAAATCGAAAAACCTGAATTTTGAGTTTTTTAGTGCAAAAAGAGTAAAATTACTCATAGATGGAGACTTATGTCTTTCTGCAATTTGTATAATCTTTATCATAATTTTCATCAACAGTGTCATAAGTAAGTTGCCTGTAAGTTGTGACAGTAATTTTGTTAGCGTAGGTTAGTAAAGTTAACATTGTCAACAATAAAAGAATGAATAAATGACGCTCCTTACCTAAAGGCAAACGGTCGTGTGTTTAGGGTCTCGTTGAACGCGTTCGTACTAGGGATGTCAATCCCGGGATCCCGAAATCCCGGGGTCCCGGGATCCCGTAAAAAATCCGATCCCGAAAATCCCGGGATTAAAAGTCTCAATCCCGGGATCTTAGTAATAAGTTACAAAGAATAAAATAGACTTTAAGAGTATGACATTTTTTATATTATAATACCTACTCATAAGCATATATATATAAACACTTCATTTTTTTACTCAGTTCAAGTCAAATTATTATACACCGCCGTACAATAATCCAAATACATTGAAATAACATAGCAAGAGTGTTTCCATCTATAGCATCGTTTCTTAACCTCGGGTCGCGACCCAAATTTGGGTCGCGGGCCATATCGAGATGGGTCGCGGGACTTGCGGGACGTAATCACTGCATCGTTAATTTAAATTAAGAAAATGTAGAAAATTGATGATTTTATTTTTTATCGGATCGCGAGCTTCTAATATATTTGAATTTTGGGTCGCCAGCTAAAAAGGTTAAGAACCGCTGATCTATAGTATAAAATCAGCAAAGAAAATGTAAAATTACAGGTCACTGTAGAATAAATTTATGTACATAACCTATAATATAACATATTTCAAACGTCAGACCTGAAAAAATGTCACAAATTGATAATTTCAATGTAAATTACAGCCCCAATTGGAACAAACAAAGGCCCGATTGATAAAAGAAATAGGGGTAAACGTGGGTACAATGTGCCTACGAATTCTTGAACACCATTCTTCCGACTAGTGTGAAGTCCGAAAGATATCGTTTGTTTGTTTGTTGTTTTATTTTAAATTGGTTTTAAAATTAATGGTATATATTTTTACGGGACTGATCCCGGGATCCCGGGATTAGTTACCTTTGGTCCCGAAAGGGATTGGAAAATGGGCTCGGGATTGACACCCCTAGTTCGTACTTTCATAGTGATACTACCGCTATCGGTGTTAAAATTCATAAAACCAATTAATGATTCTACACGTGATCTACCAGAACCAAGTCTAAAAAGGGTAAAAATTGCCTGTGGCACCTCCTGGGTAAGTCCCAAAGTCCCAAAGAATTGATACAACGAATAATTTTTCCTGGATTACCAACACAGAAACAACACGTGCTAATAGTTGGCTGTCGAGTTTAAGGAATAACTTCACAACACCTACCAAAAATGGATGACCTTAATAATACCCAAATACTAAATTTTAATGCGAAATTCGCAACTTCAACTTATAAAGAACTTCACCAGGTAAAAATTAATTAGTCGCCAACAGTTTCCATAAGAACAGCAAGCGTAGCCAAAGAACTCATAAATAAGGGCTCACATAAGCAGTCAGGATAGGATAGGTCCTAGCAGCGTACTAACCAACCAAGTCCCATACATGAACCCCAATTAAATGGAGGGGGACTTTGGATTGTACTTAGTTTTGGGTCAGTTCAATGTCCCTCAAAATTAAAATTCATGCACATATTTTCAGCAACACAGACATATCTCCAAAATTGATGCACAACTTCTTCGGCAACACATACATATCTTCAAATAGCTCTTAACCAAAAATAGTATTTTCTAAAATCTAATTTTTAACTGGCTCAAAATCTTAGTGTGGTTCTTCCTTTGCAAAGAAAATACTGTAAGTTACAAATATGTGAGAATTTTATTATTCAAAAAATTTTGACGGTTATTATCTTTGAATTAAGGTTTTACTACTAATGACACTGTTGTCGCCCATGTGCGAAATTTAGCCGCGGTAAGAGAAAAATTTTGAAAATTCTGTAATAAAAAATAACGGTTTACGAGAATAACTTTTTAAAATGGACTTTTTACCTTCAATAAGTTGCACCCAATAAATATTTGATCTAAAAGAGCAAGCGTCGATATACTGGGAAGAAATTAAGATTTAGCGTGGTTGTTCGTGGAGGTACCGCTGGCTCTAGAATTCGGTAACGGTTTCGAAATTCCCAACTTCACCAGCCCCGGCGGCGTACTTTTTAGCGCTTGCACCGCCTGATCCAACGTCGAATTTTTGATAACGTTGCCGTTAACGCTTATCAGCCGATCGCCCGGCGTGATTTTTCCGTCGTGCTCGGCCGCGCCGTTCGGGACCAGACTGCGCACGACTATGACCGTGCCTTTCGGATCCAGAGGGTCTTGGTAGTCGAGGATGGAGAAACCGAGGCCGCGGTCGGTTTTAAGGAGCTCCACGTATTCGATATCGTCCGACCACATGGCCAGGTTTGTCACTTCGAGGGACCGCGATTTGGTTTTTTGCAGGCTGGGTTCGTCCGTCACAGTCACGGTGCTCGACGTGTTTAGACTCGTATCGCTTAAAGCCTTGAGCAGCCTTTGTTCAGGTTGCGGCAGTAAATTTTTAAGACTCCCGCCTAATATGTTCCGCGTTTCGAACGCCTCTTGGTCCTGAGAGGTGTTGATAACGCGATTGCATTCGTATTTCCTGGCACAAACTAATCTGACCGTGTTGGGCAGTTCCCGCAATATTTTCACCACGTCGACGTGCTTGATTCCTAATAATTTTTGACCGTTCACCTCTAACAACTCGTCGCCGGGAGTCAGCTTCCCGTTTTGACCGACTGGACCTTCAGGTAATATGGAACGAATATAGTGATGAGGACGCAACTCTACGCCACCCTCAACATCTACAGTACCTTCTAAACTTATACCCAAGCCCGTTAGTTTTGTCAAGTTGGCTACCACTATGTCGCCTTCTTCACCAATCAAACCTTCCCATTTGTTTTTGATGGCCGTCTCAAGGTCATCCTCTGGATTGGCTTCAAAATCTTCTTCAATAAATATCTCCTTAGTTTCGCGGTTTTGGTCGTATATCTCGCTGTTTATGCTTATAACCGATTCTCCTTCAGGTTCTATTTGAATTTGCTGAAAAAAAATATTTACATAAATAAAATTTATTTATCAAGCAGTACCTAAGTACCTCTGCATAGTGTTGCAAACAAGGAAAAGTTCGGTCGAAAAGTTGGAAAAGTTGGAAAAGTTCGGCACCATGAAAAAATTATTAGGTAGGAGCCGATGAACAATGAGTTGACTTGTAACCAGTGTTTCCACTACCATAAATTTTTTTTGGTAGATAATTTGGTCAAAATTCGATATAAATCGCTAGATTTGAAGAGTTTTTAGTAAAACGAGCTAAAATCATTGTTTTTTGGAATAACATTCTGTCAAACTTTATCAAAAATGGTGTATATAAAGATTGTTTTTCTACTCCTATTACGGAATTTGACCCTTCTAATATCACTTTTATCTATGGAATGGCATATTCCGTAAAGTGTTACAGAATGAAATATTCTATCGTCTGATGACAGAATAAACACTCATGGCGACATCTCTGTTTTTAATATCAAACAAATTTTAGACCGATCCAACCTCACTTTCTTCCAATTAAATTATTTTTCTATGGTATTTTTTGGAAACGTAGAAAAAGTATAGTCTGAAACACGTTGCAATTGCACATTCCGCTCTCGTGAAACCGTCAAACTCGCCTTCGGCTCGTGTGACAAACTCTTCACTCGAGCGGAATATGCTGTATTCCAAACTTGTTACAGAATATACTATTTTCTTTTTAAATTTTTACTTGTAAATTTACATAATTTTTAACAACAATAAATTTAATAATTTTTGCTTCATATTTTTTTGTAATTATTTTTTATTTCGTATGTGTTTTTTATGGTGTGTATAAATTTCTATTCTTTTTTACTTAAAAAAAAATGATTTTTTTAACTCAAACCTAGTTTATTTTTGTTGTGATTATGTTGTCTGTTCATTTCATTTTGTTTGTTATTTTATTTTTTGTTATTTTGTTATAAAACAACTTGTTACGTATGTATAAATACATAAGAAATAAATTATTTTAATACATTGACAATCATTATTTATGTTTTAAACGTTACATTACAAAAAACTCAACTTTTCCATCTTTTCCAACTTTTCCGAACTTTTCCGAAAAATAAAACCCAACTTTTCAAAAATTTCAACTTTTCATGAAAAGTTGCAACCCTACCTCTGCATTTTCAATAGGTATCCAACTTAAGGTTGTTTGTGATGGCGAAGCTGGTGCACTGTCATTTTTTTCTTGACTTGCTAGCGCTTCTTGGAGATGCTCATATTTGGGTCCACGTAAATATCGTTCTAAAGTGAGTACTACTTCGTCACCGGTCTGTTTTATTTTATCTACTGCTTCGTAATTCGTAAAATTTTGCAGCGATTGACCATCTACCTCGACTATCCTATCGTTTAAGTTGATTTTGCCGCATTTGTATGCTTCACTTCCTAAAAAATATTTGATTTAGAACCCAAGTGGCACTTACGTATTATAGAACGTTATACAAAGTGTCAGTTTTTTAAGGCTAAGCACGCTTATCTTATCCCGGCAGTTTATAAATCTAGCAAAAATATTTTGGCAGATTTAATTCTCCCTAAAAAAGTTCCTTAATGATGCCTGAAGTAGAAAAGGCTACCTTCATCTGTTTTTGAAATAAAAAATTGAAATAAAAACTCTCGATTTTAACGATATCTCAAAAACTAAAATTGATACCTAGGTCAAATTTCTGAAATCATTGCTTGGCATGAAAATGAGCAACATTTTCTTGATTTAACCATCTAAAGATAACCGAGATTCTATAGCTCTGGGGGGCAATCGAGCAACCGCCACTGCTGGCCAACGTTTTTTTCTCTAACAAAAATATTTTAAAGGATAAACGTAATAATTAAAAAAAAAGAAAATGTCAAAAAAATCTGCATTAGCAACTCGCCATCTAGTACAGTTCAAGTACAAATTACAGTTACCTGCAGGTGGGACAAACTCGCACAGTAGGATGAAAATCTTTCTAACCAACAAAACTAACTAACAATTTCTTGTACTAGATAATAAAATAACTAAACTTTCAAAACTATAATTAAAAGCGCGGCTCATAAAATCCCAATCTCACACAAGAATAGGCATAGAAATAATAATATTCTTTTTCCATGAAAATAATACTCTAGTATTATTTCTATGAGAATAGTGCACAGGGAAACTCAAATTATTCATATTTAATGGCCGGCGTTGTCAGACACCAACGATTGTCTTGTCGGGTGAAAAAAACATTGAAATAAAATTAAACTAATAGTAACATGGTACTATTACTATAAGTTTAATTTTATTTCAATGATTTTTTCATGGATAACTTGACAGAATAAATTTTTGTCGTTCTTATTATGAATTTTTCTACTTAAAACTTTAGAATAAAATTTAGTAAAGGGTCGTTTTAAGGGTTGGTGAATCCAGTGCCGTGCTTAGATTTTGTTTAAAAAAATATGAATTCTTAAAAATTTACTCTTAAAAACGAACATAGTAGTGTATTTTGTACTAATATGGCGTCTTTTGCTCCAAAAATACAGTTTATGAAGATCTACACTTTAAAACAAATCCGGTTAAAATCGCACAATAAATAAGGATTTTACAGGGGTGAGTCGTAAACAAATGGGTCACACTGTTATTATATTATCATAATATGGTACTTTTTACAGATAAAACACCCGCATTTCCAGAAACTATTTAAAGAAAAATAATTGTTAATTATACCTTCATTTAATCCTTTAATAAATATCCCACAAAGGTCTTCCCTCTCGCACACATATCCAGCTATAGTAATCCCTAATCCAAACTCGTTTTTATGCAAACTGACTGAAAATCGGTCCGTTTCGGGCGTATACTCAATATCAACCGGAGTAATAAACAATCGCCCCTCACTTAAGGGAGAAACCTTCTCTATACTATTTAAATTAATCTCTGGGATCGTATCCGGCACAACCACTTCTTCTACATTCTTAACGTCTTCAATTCCGTTGATAGTTTCGTTAACAGTTCCGTTTTCGAATAAATCTAGAAGCTCGTTATCGGTATTTTCGCTGTCTAAACAAATGTCTTCTTCCTGTGTAAAACTGAAAAAAGTAGAATAACCATTTTCGGTCAGTTGACGGTCTAGTTCTTCTGGATCGGTTAGTATTTTTGTTGGGACTATGGGTGCGTTGCAACCGACGTTTTGAAAGTCGTTGGAACTCGGTTCCACCGGTCTGGCCACAACCATTCTAACCTGGAACAATTAGAGAACAATCATGGACAAGGCGTATGATAAGGATGATTTTTAACATAGAAGTTACGAACAATTAAATAATATTTACAATATAGGCAAGGCAACAGAAATAACACATCTCAAAGTTTTAACCATATAATATTTTTCCACGTATTTTCCTTTTTTTGTATTGTCTACACAATACTTACTAGGTACCTATTAAAAACTTTTGGTGTAAAAAGGAGACAAAAACTTTTGCTAAATAACTATTTTTCGCCAAAAATGTATTCTTAAAATTATTAAGAAACAAAATGACAATTAAAAATTGTTAAATACCAGTGTTATTACTTAAATTTTATAATAAGTAGGTATTGCATTTTAGCGTTGTAGGGCAGTATTTACCCCAATAGCTTGTCTAGTTTGTCAAAATATGTAAGTGATAGATATCAGGGGCGTAGGCAGGGGGTTACAGCACATGTTCCAAGAAAATATTTTTTATTTCAAGCGTACAATAATTTTTATATTATATTATGAGTGTTATAATATGACAATTATTAATCTGTATAGAAAGAATTTATATTAACACACCGTACAGAAATAAAGCAAAAATGTCATCATGTCAGTTAAACCTAACTTAAAAATGATGTGACAGAATCATAAGAAATTTTTTACTTAAATGCTTAAAAAAAGTATATAATATAATAATTGTTCGCACACAATCTACTGCCTCGGCAGTAAAATGTATGCTCAGCGATATTATGTACTTTCTCCGCCTGGCCTATAAAAGTTATATTTGTTTTCATACGCCACAGTTTATTTTGTATCTCATAAGAATTCCAAAAAGTATACTGTGTCTCAAGTTTGGAATAGTATATTCTGTAACAAGTTTGGAATACGGCATATTCCGCTCGAGTGAAATGTTTGTCCCACGAGCCGAAGGCGAATTTGACGGTTTCACGAGAGGGGAATATGCAATTCCAAACGTGTTTCAGACTATACTTTTTCTACGTTTCAAAAAAATACCATAGAAAAATAATTTAATTGAAAGAAAGTGAGGTTGGATCGGTCTAAAATTTGTTAGATATTAAAAACATAGATGTCGCCACAAGTGTTTATTCTGTCATCCGATGATAGAATATTTCATTCTGTAACACTTTACGGAATATATGTCAAGTGATAATAAAACGGTCATATTCTGTAATAGGAGTAGAAAAACGAATTTTTAAAATAATCTATTCTGCATAAGTGGTATTTTCCAGAGATTATTTTAAAACTTCGTTTCTAAAGCAACAAAAGAGGATTACAGCATATGTTTAAAAAATATAAAATTTTATGGGTGATTCTACAAAAGTTGGACAACTTGATGTCATCAGTCAATAGGTACCTATTTTAATATTTTTTGTAAATATGTTAGTATATTACAAAAGATCCAGGTTTTTTTAACTTGTCCAATCAATTTTTTCAAAAGCACGTTTGTAGAAAAACATAATAAATAATCAAAACATCAGTACCTTGGCGTGTCAAAACTCCTGAATCAAATAATTGAGTGATTTTATTTTAAAATATATTTAATTAAATCTTAAATTTTTCAATTTCACTTCCACCTATAAAACATTATAATTTATAAATAATGTATTTTTCATATTTTCTCATAGATTCGAATAATAGCAATTTTAAAAAAATTGATAATCTTTGTACTCACTTTTATTATTTTTTTATTTTTATTATTCAAAATTCCTGCAAAATATTGAAGTTTAAACGTCCTCGTTTTAACTAAAGTGTTGGTAAAAAATTACCTACAAAGCCCGCCCTTTGCACGACAGTCATCTTGAAAACAATGCAAGCGGCGAAGTTGTGGTGAATGAACGTATAGTTCCAGTCAAAATTTCAGTACTGTGGTGAGTAGTTATTTTCTTACGTATATATATTTCATTGTAATTTATATAAGGCTATATGTGATTTGTTGATAAGTAGCATCCACTAATAAAAAATATCAGTAAAATACTTAATTCCGAATTATAATCTCAAATTTGTATCCCATTTATCAGTACCGTGTCGTCAGTTCCATATTCTATGTTTCGGTTATCTTTTTTTGGCAAACTTCAATTTAAATTCTGCTTGCGCAGAACTTGTTTATTTAATGTCATTATAAACTAATATAAATTTGGTGTAGGTCCCATATCTAATAATTGAGATATCGGTATACCCAAATCCACCAGCCGCCACTGATGTGTGGTATTATTTTAAGATATTTAATGTATAATATGCTCAAAGTTGCAATAAATCTTATATTTTCCAATAAATTATGTATTTAATTAGTACCCTGATATACTCGTCACTTACCTTGCATTCAAATTTAGAAAACCCAGATATTTCAGAAACTATTTGAAAAAGTGACTGGCCTGGTCTGGAACAGTATATTTATTATATTATCTATGTTTTCATAACAAAATATGTAGGTACTGTTTAATTTTCTCCGAAAAGTATATAAACAAAATGAGGTCAAACGTTGCCCAACTTTTGTAGAATCACCCTTATGCAAATCACAAAAAACAATTTTAGCAGCAGTTTTAAAAATTATCATTTCAAATTTGGTGCTGCCAACTTAATTTATCAAACTCTTCAAAAGAAGTACTTTTAATGTTTTAATTAGGTAATAGTTTTTTACATTTTAATCTAAAATTGTACATTTCTCAAACATTATTTAATACGTTTTTGTAAAAAATAAAGGTACCTTACGTCATACAACCACGACAGTTTATATTTATCTAAATGTTCTATACAAAAAATAAATGAACATGTTTAAATTAAATTGAAAAGTTGAAAAGAAAAATGTAAATGACTCGTGATTTAAAACAGTCCCATGAAAATTTACTTTTATGCCTTGCATTTATTTCTGCACACATTTATTCAGCAGATTTTGTACTGAAAATCTGCTAAATAAATTGTATGCAAAACGATTAATTTGCACATATACCATGTGTGTTAGGACAATACCTACATTTTGCCAAACACAAATATTTAAATTAAAAATGAAATTAACTTTGTTATTATCAATAATTTTTTACTTTTTAAAATCGCAATTATGAGATTGTTTCTAATAATATAACAAAGTTTTAAACCAGTCAAAAACTCGGTAGTCATTTTTTTAAATTTATACTCTTTATTGCGTTAGTGTAGTAAACCATAAATTTAATGGAATTGCCTTTTTTTACCAAAAAATAAACCATACTATTTTTATAAAACTTAATTTAAATTGTACAATTGTTGTATTTATAACGTTGTATTTCCATAAATACATAAATATACGATTTATGTATAAGAAAACCATAAATCGATTTCTAAAATGTATTTTTAGAAAAATTTCCTTGAAATATCGAATCAAATTTATCGATGCATGATAAAACAATATTTTCCGAATTAACAAAATTCCTCTTAAATGTTTTATAAACATTTCATTATGAGAGCTTTATGACATAAAGTTTATGTTTTTTCATTTTATTTTTATAAATTACAATCTTGTGTGTATGTGTATACTGGGTTGCCTATAAACCGAAATATATAATATTTATATTAAAGATTAAAGAAAGACTTGTATTATTGTTATAATAATGTATAATGTATTTGTAATTTTTTAAAAATATTTTGATAAAAAAATAAAACTTCCTTATGGGTACAGATTGAAGAACTATAATATATAAAATATTTTTTTGTGCTACAAAACCGTTTCTTACATCTGACAATCATATCATTTTATTTGTAGTTAAATACAAAAGTGCTCTTTTAGTTCCACCTTTACTTCTTAAGAAGTCCCATAAGCCAACTGAACGGCTTGTGCGGGTTAGGGGTAGGAACGGACCGCGGGCTTAAAGTCCCCTCCGAAGGACTAATACACAATAGGACAAACACAAATAAACAGCCATACACCTGGTGGGATTCGAACCCACGACCTCCGGCTTGTAGTCAGCATGCACTAGACCACTAGACCACCGTCGGCGGGTAATATTATTATTAATAATATTTCAATAATCCAGCAAGCTCATATGTCTTATTTGGTTTGTTTTTATAAAAACATGGGGATTTTTTTATCATTCAGGGTGTCCCAAGAATGGCCCACTTAGGCAACAACAGGTTATACCTACTGTATAAGTTCCTAAATGTTGCAGGGTTTTTAAAACTTAAACTAATTTATTAATTTTTATATTTAACACATATTACATACATAATACATAACAATATTATTCAATGGAATATAAATTTTTAAACAAAAATTTACTATTTAAAAAAACATTTTTTAATTCGATAACAAGAAATTGACAAGCTTAATTTTTGCATGTACCTAATTTAATAAACTTTTGTTTTGCAATCTGTAATAACATTCAATAATGTTAATGCGTTACCAAACTAAACAATGACAAATGATTTTCTTATTGTATGAGCTGGCAAGGTAATAAAAAAACATAAACTTTAAAACAATGTCATTGGCCATAAAATGATTCAATTTACAAGATTTTTATTGTTTATAACGTTGCCTTTCTTAATTTTTTAGTCGCGCAATAATAAAATATTCTAGTAGGTATTTAAAAAACCTTTTTTTAAAGAATTACATATTTTTTTTCTTAGGGCTCACACTTTTTTTATCAAAAAATCACAACTTATACTGATAATATTCTATCAACAAATTTAGTTATCAATCAAAATTTTTAGTTTGATAGCAACAAATACTAACATTTGTTTAAGTTTAATGTTCGCACGTGAAGTACTATAAACTATTATTTTGCAAAAATGATTTTAAGTTACCAAGCTATACCTACATAACCCAGGTTTTCTTAATGTACAAGCTGTTTTTAAAACATGACAATGACCACTAAATGAAGACTGATAAGATTGTATTTATATACCTACTAAAGTTATGGACTGATACCATGTAAACATGCTAAAAATAAATTGATTGTATTTTTATCTTTAAAGCTTTTTCAATAGGTCTAGACCATTAATAAACATTGATGGTCATTGCAATGATTTACCTAGGTCAATTAAAATTCAAAATTTTAGAATTTATAGGGAGAGCGGGGGATAGTAGACTGATAATTTTAATATTTTTTTAAGAAACTTGTATTTGGATATACAGTATATCCAAATACAATTTCCTAAAAAAAAATAATAAAATTATTAGTTTACTATCCCCCTCTCTTCCTATAAAATTCTAAATTTTAGAATTTTATTATAGACAGGGAGCACTAACGCGATTGGAGGTTATTTTATTTAAGAAAAAATATTGTTTTCAAGTAATATAAGGTTTCTAAAATTTTATTATATTTGTTATTTTAATGTTTTAAACAATAGAAAACAAGTGTCTAAGGACGTTTCTAAAATAAAAAGTTTAAGATTGTTAATTTTTTTTTATTTTTAAATATTTTATGGAGAATTACTTCTTTGAGCATGTTTTTTTTAAATTCATATCATCCCAAAGTTTTTAAGAAATTGTTTACATAAGTGTAATGATATTTAAAATTTAAGGACATTTTTTTTCATAATTTAACATTTTTAATACCTAGACATTTGACAATGAGTACACGTGGTTTACGAAAAAATTAACATAATTTTAATGCAATTTATTTATTTAAATTTTTTCTATATTGAAATAATGTAATGTTTAATTATCCATAATTTAACATGAAAAAAATATTTTCTTAAAGTTTAAAATGAAAATGAACTTTGAAAAATGGAATTGCTCAAAAAAGTAATTGTCCATAAAAAAATTTAAAAAATCAAAATTTTGCAAACAAAATTTTAGGATAACGTTCTAATCTATAAAACTTCCCATACTTAAAAAACTTCCCATATTTAAAAAAAACTTCCCATATTTAAAAAACTTTAGATCCCGTTTTTTATAAATCTATTTTAATGGATCCATTAAGTATTTTTGTCAAGAATAATCTTAGAGGTAAATTCGTATATCCATTAAAATAGATTTATTTTTGTCAAGAATAATCTTAGAGGTAAATTCGTATCTCGAGATACGAATTTACCTCTGAGATTATTCTTGACAAAAATAAATCTATTTTAATGGAGATACGAATTTACCTCTAAGATTATTCTTGACAAAAATACTTAGTTTATAAACCAAAAAAGCTGAAATTTTTTTGTAAATATCTTTTCTAAGATTTAAAATGGGTCTCCCATTTATATAAAAACACCCAGTAAACCAATATTTTTTTGGAATTTTAAATTGTATAATGACACCTCAACTTGTTTTTTTTGCATATGGTATGGCGTTAGTGAGCCATTTTTGAGACATTATATTTTTAAAATAGATTAGATATTTAATAACATTTTTCTTCTAATTTCAAAGATGACAAACCAATTTTTCGCAATATTATTCTATAATATTTTCTTTTAAAAATTTTATATAATTTATACCATAAAATTCTTAATTTAAAAATGAAACAAGGAAAGAAAGTTTTTAAAACATTTTTGCATATTTTTAATTTAGGTAAAAAAATTAAAACTTTTTTTAAATACGGCACACATTTAAAAAAATAACTTCACCTTTTTTATAATGAAAATTATATGTTCGATTATAGGCTGTTGTGCCACAAAACAGTTGAAACTGTGAAAATAAAGATTTAAATTTAAAATAGTTTTTTTAGTGCTTAAATTGTCAATACCATCAATTTTTTTAAATACCCTGCATACATATTAATAGAAAAAATGTTTATTCAAACCATGTTTAAAGAAACCGCAACATTAAATTCAAAAATTCTAATCTAATAAACAACACAGTGCAGGTAATGTAAGTGATGTCTTACATATTGGTGTAGTTATTAAAAATGTTTAACCACCTGAGGCCCAGCTTGTCGTAGCACTGAGGCAACTTGGTCAGCAGCCAAACCTCTCAGATTAACTTCCCCAATTTGCAAAATATGGTCGCCACTCTGCAGTCTGCTGTCTTTGTCAGCTATTCCTCCGGGAAGAATCGACTTTATAACGACTCCTGTACTTTTGCCACCGACAATTCCAAATCCCAGACCAGATCCATCATTTATTAAATCAATCACTTCCACTTGAGACCACTCTGTACTCAAGACCATGTTGTTCCACTCCTATATTCATCTCTTAAACATTGTTTAAACAATTTTTTTTAAATTGGCGCCCAACTAATGCATATTTATTTAATCAATAGAATTTTATTGTATGTAATGTTTAAATAGTTAATTTTGTGAGGTTATGTTTATCTAAAATTTCCACACACTCGATTTTAAAATCTTTTGTTAACAAAAGGTCATCGTACACGTCCATAGCACGCTGTGTTATAAATATATTTAAAAAAATTCATAGTTAATAAGGTATTTGCAATTTGTCACAAATCGAGGAGTATTCACTACGCAGGACATAAATCTTTGTGCGATTACAGGAAGAAATCACGCACCTTGTTTAAACAATCAATATTTTTTGATTTCGCCAGACAAATAACAAAAATAAAATAACAAAAAGTCAGGTAATTCCCTTAAGTGTTATAAATTGTTCTCTAAAAGCCTGTTGTAAATAACAAAAGAAAATTAAATTAGACGATATTTAAAATTCCATTTCGTATCGAAATGACAATACCCACCTAATTGCGTATTAAATACCTAGGTAGTTAAAAAAAACCGTTTTAGAGATAAGCCCCGAAAATAGAGTGTATTGATAAAATTTTGGTAGGTAAAGTTTATAATAAAATAAAATAGTATTTTCGAGTGGGAGTACGCGCGTTATTGATGTCTACAGCTGATATTACGAATATATCCGATGAACCCGTGAATGAGTCCGCGTTCTGCGATTAGCACGGTTCTGTAGACGTTCCCCACGTAATTTCCAAGAAGTAGTTAGTTCTCTGACGTATTTACCCAAGTCCACTGTGTAGTATGATTACAACTTTCGAAATAGCAGAGTGAGATTACAACATACAAAATTATGGACGATGAAAGTAGGAACACGCAAATTCGTGCAATATTCTTTGACCTAGACAATACGTTGATCGAGACGAGGAAGGCTGATTCTTTGGCCTGCTGCAAGGTAAAATGCTTTTTTAATTGCTTTTAAGGTGTTTTTAATGTTTTGTCTCATACAATTTTAACAAATCCAATCTTCTACGAATACAGTCCTGATTTATCAGCTGTTTTGTACGCACATGCGTAGTCGATTAGATAGATAGATTTTATCTGTAAATAACAAAACATGCCGCACAGCATGCTGGTTGAAATCTTCCAGAGTCAATGACTGAAAATCTAAAAATAATCAAGCGATACGAAACACTAGAAATGACCGAATTTAGAAACTGAAAATTTAGCCCGTAACTAAATATAACCTTTACACGTCGTTGCAACGCACAGTCGGCAAAAGTACTTACTAGTGTTAAGAGCGTGCAACTTTCGGAAATATACTTTTAGTTAGTGGTAATTTAGTAAATAATAATAGCCACAATGTCTGGCCAAATATCTGATGCCGTCAAAAAATGTTGCGGCATATTGAAGAATTCTTCCAGTGATACGGAGAAGTTTGCTGCACTTTTTATGGTAACCAAACTGTTGAAGGGCCGTGATTGCAACCCAGCTGCTAAGAAAGCCGTATTTGAAGCTATTGGTTTTGATTTTATCAATAGATTGTTGACTACGAATGATGTCCCTGTTGATTGCCCACCTTCGATCTACAAATCCATTGCCCTATCTATTCTCAGTGTGTTTTGTGGAGAAGAAGAAATCGCCACACAAAAAGAAATCATATGCCATGTTCCCACTTTCTTGGAATTTGTCCAGCAAGCTGACGAAATGGAAAATGATGATAATTTGATGGCAATCGGGGATGCATATAATTGCTTGAAGGGCATCGCTGCTTACCCACCAGGTCAAAAAGCTTTAATGGATGCCGGAGGCATAGACTTGTTGAGTGATATTTATGCTTCTGGTAGTTTTCAGTCTGACGAGGCTCTTAATATAATGGGCTCATTAGTTGCTCGTGAAGGAGCTACTTCGTGGGATCCCAAAAACCCAAAAGCTTTTCATGCCTTGGTCAACAAGATCTCGTTAGATTTTGAGACTGATCAGGATAAAAGGAAGTTCGAATTATGTGAAGTTTTGAATGCCTTGATCTACAATTGCCCCCAGAAATTAATTTCCGAGTCTGCTGCCACAGAATCCTGGCCCCAATGTATCTATAAGGGTTTGTTTGATATTTTACAAAGCAAAATTGGGGCCCAACAACGCAATCCAGCCCTAATTTTGGCTGCCAGTATGCTGGATCTACTAGGTGTTGAGTGGCTTTTCCAAGATGAAGAAAAAGGAAAACAAATCCTATTACTGTTGATTCAATTAGCTGCAATTGAGGTAAGAATGCAACTCGATGGCAAGACCTTGAAAGCAGCTGCAGCCCATGGAAACCTAATAACATCATGTTACATTATTCTGGAAATTTCAATCAACTACATATCCACTGACCAATTGGACTTGGACCAAAAGGAAAAACAGACACTGTACACAGGGTTAAAGGGCGCCTTTACGGCTATTATTAACTTGCTGATGAAGGTCAAAGCCGACAAAAATAAGCCCGCCAATGAGGAAAAGATATTTGTTTGTGCAACAATAAGGGTATTAGCGGCATGGTTGGCACAAGAAACATCTGCCATGCGCACGCAGGTCTACCAATTATTGCCATACATTCTCGAGGTTGCCAATGAAACCTTCCACGCCTGGAAGGCCAGGAAAATCGCCGAAAAGGCCGGCACACCAATAGATAAAGATCCCCTGGGCAACTTCGACATTTTAAGAATCCTATTGCCAGGCTTGTGCCATTTGGCTGTCGAGGATGCCTCCAGAGGCATCATTCTCAAAAATGGTCAAGACAAAGTTTTGCTGGAATTCTTGGAGTTCCACTGGACCATCGTTCACTACAAGAGGCCACCTGTACCAAGGGCAGAAAGGTTGAAGGTGTTAAACAACCCCAAGATTGAGTTCTCCCCGGAGATGCTGGAAGACATGCAGAACTCCAGAACGACCATGATCAGCACTTGCAATGTGCTCATGAACTTGACTGTACTCGAGGCCAAGTACGTCGAGAAATCGGACGTTTTCAACGACCTCTTGAAGTTTATCTTCGAGAACTTGCCAGAACTCAAGGACATACCTGAAAACTTGGTTTTGCACGGGAACTTGTCCGTGTTAGGGCTACTCCTATTAAAACAACTCTCAAATAAAGTAAAGAAAAACGACTTTTCGATATGCAGATATATCCAAGCGACAATAAGATTCCTTTGGAACGCCTACACCACCGATGAATCCAACGACCCGACTGCCTTGGTCGTCTCCATGCCTTACAAGGAGCACTGGATGGAAATAATGGAGCTGTGGTTTTTGGGAATGCAGACAATGGCGTCCGTGATTGCGCAGATACCTTGGATCTCGGAGTTCGCCATCGAGAGCGGGTGGGCCGAGGGCATCGTGCAGACTTTGAAGAAGGTCAAAATTGGAACGCTACCTCCCAACGTCAAGTCGGCTTACGAGGACTTCCTGTGCCATCTGGTGGACGCCAACGAAAGTGTGGTGGACGTTTTGAAGAAGGCCGAGGCCTTGAGGGTCTGCAGAAATCACCGATTGATGGAGTTGGGAAAGAAATTGTTTGGTGATTAAGTGTTGTTTAGTTGATATTTATTTATTAACGCTTAGCTGTTGTTTCTTTTTTATATGATAGCTATTTTAAACGATCTGATTATTAATTGTTGAAACGCGATATTTTGTTGATATATTTTCATTGTTTTATGACAACGCTTAAATTGCAGTTTTTTGATATTGTATAATTATCTATTTAATATGCTTTATTTATTTAATTATGTAATGATTATGTGGCTGCATTTATGCCTGTGTACAATTTTAAATTTTATAAAACAAATTTTATACACTGATTTCGTATTTTCTACTATGTAAAATAATATTTATGTACAATGTTTTTAATAAATTATTATGAGCCAAATTTTGTTTTATTTTCGGCAAATTGCGCTGGGATTTTGAAAATATTTATATAAATTCCAGAAACGACGAAAATCTATTTCCCAAGAATTCGGTCTCCTTGAGTGTTATTTTATTTTGATCCCAATGCTTTGTTTTTTACAATAAAATACGTTTGTTTAACCTTCAGTTCAATGAAAAACAACAAAAATATAAAATTGTTTACCATAATATTTGGATGTTAAAACAATGCAATATAAAAAACATTTAATTTCTACACTTGGTTTTATTATTAAATGCTTTAGGTTTGTTCCAACAGCAATTATAATTATCTTAAGGTCAGACTTTGATTTGTTTTGTTTTGACTAAGAAAAACAGTTTAAATGACTGTTTGGGGATATTACACTAACAAAACATTCAATTACTATTGGAACAAACATAAACTAAGTTATTTTACTAAACACTTAGCACGGTTGTAGCCTGCAATCGCACCGCACTACTGCGTAGCAAGTGGTCGCTGCTTTCACTTTCAAATCAACTTCTTTGGGTAAATGTATCATCTAAGCAAACGACATTTGCAATGTAAGCTTTCAAAACAATTTTTGAAATCTTAAATTGTAACGAAGTCTATATCAATCACTAATTATCTATTTAATAAATTGTAGCTAGCTAAACAGTTAAAGGACAAGTATGCTATCCCGTCAGAAGTTTGTGCTCACTACCTCAAAGAGTTCAGGAGATGCCCTGATAATACGAAAATGGACTTGGACTCCTGGAGGACGCTACTGTGGAACCAAGCCCTAGGAGAGGAGCACAACAAATTGGCAGGTGAGAGACAAAACTACTGCAAAAAACTTTTTTTCTACTCCCACCTTTAAAACGCCCATTATCGTACATGTTTTCACGACATTAAGTGAGCTTTAGTCAGGGGCTGAAGTTAGCAACAGTTTTTTAGTCACATTTTGCGTACAGTGCCCATAAAACATTCTCTTCTTTAATAATACTATAAAAAAACTGCTTCCATATCGATTGTCTATTTTTAAGGGATAAATTTTGATTTACCCAGAAAAATTCGAGATTTTAACGCCGGCAGATTCCCAAGTTAGAAATTCTAACTGGAATTCTAATAAATACAACTGTCACTTTTTGTACCCTTAACATTTCCCGTGCAAAATTGTTTAGGTAATTTATTTTATATTTTAAAGTATCAATAATTGTTAAGTTTATTTATAATAAAAACGAAACTGGTGAAAATTAAGTTAAACATGTTTATTGGGATGGTTACTTTATTTTCGTATAGATGTCGCTTTATACAAATATTAAATTTAAATCAATATTTAGATAATATTCAGTAGTTATTTGTCGTAAAAAAGTATAGTATGCAACTCGTTTATGAACTTTTCTAGGCACTCATTTAATTATGTATTTGCTCCCCTTACGGAAAAACACTGTTAACACTGCACAACATTATGCAACACTACTTTTGAAAAATGTTTTCGTTAAAAGTGTTACATAGTGTGACCTTATGTTCTGTGGTGTGACCAGTGTTTTTTAGTGTGACCAGTGTTTTTTAGTGTGGCCAGTGTTGTTTAGTGTGACCATTGTTGTTTAGTGTGACTATTGTTGTATAGTGTGATTAGTGTTGCAGTGTTAATAGACCTAGCCCATAAATCGGATTTTTTGGATAGCGCGTGCGTGAAAAAACGCGGCAGTCTTTTTTATTAGAATTCTAATGAAGAAAGAGACTGTCGCCCTTTTTAACGCACCCCCTATCCAAAAAATCCAATTCATGGGATAGGTCTAAAGCTATTTATCACTGCGGAATGAAATATTTCAGTCGACAGTGTTTTATTATAATTTGAAAATTATAATTTAATTTAAGTTTACATTGAAAATTAATTACGAAAAGTTCGCACAATTATGTTTTATCTGGTAAATTTAAGTTCCAATTGTAAATTAAAATTTACAATAAATTTTTATCTAATTATTAAATTAATTTTTTTTAATATTAATTAAAAAAAAAGTTTAAACAGTAGAATTCTGCATTTTTTGGTGCTTTTTTAGCATTTTTTTTAATTGATAAGGTTCAAAAATATTTTGTAATTTAGTTATTTAATTAAAATTAATTGGAAATTCTAATTTTCAGTTGAAACTTAAATTTATCAGATAAACACTTATATTTATATGAACACTACACAAAACTGCTTATTACAGCAACATTAATCACTTTAACACTATGGGCAAGTCGTTAACACTGTTGGAACACCATGAACACTATGCAACACTCTTTATCACTGTGCAACATTACAACAACACTAGTGCAACACTATGGTACAAGTCGTTAACACTGTTGGCACATTATTAAAATCGTCAGTAGTGTTGTACAGTGTTTAATACTGTTGAACAGTGTTTTTCCGTAAGCGATCGCAAGCTCGCTTGTGCCTAACTTGAAACATAATACTTTAAAAAGGTAAAATTTGGTACCAATTTTTATAATTTTGGATAATGGGCCATTATTAATGGCACTATGGAAAATCAATAAACCCAATGATCATTATATTATAAAAATACGTGGTAAAAATGGTATTAAAATTTGGGTGTTGAAATTTAAAGCAATGGTTCCAAAACAGTACAGTAGGTACATAAATAGTTATTGATTTGTCTTGATATACTTGTTGGTAATGATCTGTCGTTAAATTTACAACTGCTGTATCCTAAATAAAGTCTTGGTAGCTGATGTTTTGATGATTTTATTATGTTTTTTCTACATTTTACTCGATTTTAACCAGGGCCGATCCTAGGCAGTTCTAGGTCTGATGTACCTTGATTTTATCCCTCCTCTCAATGCAATAACCAGATGTAACACCGTGCCCCCTTTAAGCTTGTAACTGCTCACCGTTTTTTCGTCTTTCAGTTGTTTTCCTTGAAAAATCAGCCGTTGTTGTTCGGGCGGTATGCCTTCATGTTCTTCCAGTTTTTCCTTGATCGTTAGTATTTTGTCCGTTGGTTCGACATCTATAAGATCTTCATCACCCATCAGCGTTACAACCTTAATCAACATTCTAACCTATCCTACTGCGTGATTTATGATATGTGAACGAAAATTTTGATTATGTTTTTCGATTATGATGAGACATTGTCAAAATGACTTGATGTGTCAATTTGACAGAACGGGGTTTATTTCATAGGTTTATGGTTTATTTGTATTCAGGACTCAAGTCCCTCAAAATAAAACTCTAGTCAGGACTAACCTTTCATAGTAAATTGTTCTATTCTTATAATATAAGAATATAAGAATAGAACATATATATAATATATAATAGAATATATTATATAAGTAAAGAAAAGTAATAGTTTTCTACTAAGTAGAAATATTAAAAATTTCTTTAATAATTAATTAATTAATTTTTAATATTTCTATATACAGGGTGTCCCAGAACTCGCGCCACATAGAAAACCGGAACGTGCCGAAAATAACGTGAAACACATATTTGAAAATTAAAATTGTCTAACGCAAAGGATAAGCGAGATAAGAATAAAAAACGATAGCCAATCCCAATAGATGGCCATAGGGAATTCTTTAAATTGCTAGGATACTTAGGTTGCATTGTTGATAATAAAAAATATGTAATATATTTGGTCCACTGGAATCCAATTCATTGTGACACTGCTGTCAAACTCCTGTCATTAATATTATATTAGGTTATAAATTAAGTTATTATAAATAATGTTTTCCTTAGATGATTATACTGAAATGATAATTATTTATTTATTTAGTGTGGGCGCAACGCCAGGGAGACAATGCGAGTTTTTTCCCAGCCCTTTCCTAATCGTTATTTTAAAACATTGGCGTTTTGAAGTATAAGTCATAGATTAATAACCTCATTTTTGAAAGCTTTTGACAACTTAGTAAATACAGTTGGCCAAAAGATTTTTAAATGTTTTTAATACAACAATGTTCTATCGTCTCCTAGCAATTTTTAAAGCTCTTACGTTTAACCTAGGCGAGAGCTCTCGGTATTGGCTGCCGCTTTTTTGCTCTCATTCGATTACACTATTACCTAGAAATTTTTTATTTTTAAATTTGGCATCTCCATTGCTATCGGCACGCCCCCTTTTTCTCTGTGGCGCGAGTTCTGGGACACCCTGTATATTATACAGGGTGTTTCTTTTAACTTGAGACAGCTTAATATCTCGAGAAATACGCATTTCACGGAAAAATGTCTTAAATAAAAGGTTAATGTGACTATAGGGGACATTATTTGGTGCTACCGCTAGCCACCCCCTACCCCTCCTTAAGGGTGAAACGGGGGGTAACTTTGGAAAGTCAAATGGAATGACCCGATTTTTTTCACAGAGTTTGGTAGTACATAAAAAAATGAATAACTTTTATTTGAAAGTTTTTTTCAATTTATCAACAGATGGCGCTGTAATTCAAAATTTAAGAAAAAGGGGTTTCCTTGTAAAATGTATTATTTGAAACGTTTGAAAAACAAAAATTAACATTAAATCAACAATAGTCGGCTCTGAAAACAATTTATAACAAATGTTCGAAATGTCGTCCTTCCATTTCGACACCAAGTGGAGCACCAGCGTCCCTGGTCGGTAAACGTTTGGTGCGGTACCTTTGGCGAACGATTAATCGGACCCTTCTTTATTGACGGTGCATTAAATGGCGAAAAGTACCGGAATTTTCTAGAAAACGATCTGACGGACCTTTTGGAGGATGTACCACTAGCACGGCTCCAAAACATGTGGTACCAGCAAGATGGTTGTCCTGCTCATTATTCGACAATTGCTCGAGAGGTGTTGGATCGGGAGTTCAATGGCCGGTGCACCGCGGTGGATCGGTAGACGTGGTCCAGTAATTTGTCCTGCTCGATCACCTGATCTTACGCCACCAGACTTTTTTCAGTGGGGTTACTTGAAAGAAAAAGTTTACGCTGCAATTCCTACAACTTGGGAGGACATGGAGGAGCGGATCAGGAACGCCTGTGCGGCGATACCGCCCGATATGTTGGCGCGTTGTGTGCCAGAATTCATTACCCGCATTCAAAAATGTGTTGAAATGGAATGACGACATTTCGAACATTTGTTATAAATTGTTTTCATAGCCGACTATTGTTGTTAATGTTAATTTTTGTTTTTCAAACGTTTCAAATAATACATTTTACAAGGAAACCCATTTTTCTTAAATTTTGAATTACAGCGCCATCTGTTGATAAATTGAAAAAAACTTTCAAATAAAAGTTATTCATTTTTTTATGTACTACCAAACTCTGAAAAAAATCGGGTCATTCCATTTGACTTTCCAAAGTTACCCCCCGTTTCACCCTTAAGGAGGGGTAGGGGGTGGCTATCGGTAGCACCAAATAATGTCCCCTATAGTCACATTAACCTTTTATTAAAGACATTTTTCCGTGAAATGCGTATTTCTCGAGATATTGAGCTGTCTCAAGTTAAAAGAAACACCCTGTATATTACTTATACAAAACGGCCATTTCAAGCGGATGGACGGGACAAATCACAAAACTGTTTTTATAAAAAAAATTGTAGCTAATTTATTATATATTATTTTTGCATCAAAATTGTCAAAAAAATTCTTCTATTATTAGGGTATACATTAAATAAAAAAAATCGCAAGAAATATTTTATAAAAGTAGAGATAATTTCAATAATTGACAGGGATGGACGGGACAAGATAAATCTTTTTTTTGTCCCGTCCACACCTTTCAATTATTAAAATTATATCTACTTTCATAAAATATTTCTTGAGTTTTTTTGATTTAATGTATAACATAATAAAAGAAGAATATTTTTGACAATATTGATGCCAAAATAATTTATAATAAATAATCTACAATTTTTTTTATAAAAACAGTTTTGTAATTCGTGCGTTTCGCGCGCTTGAAATGGCCGAAAACTCACTTTTCTTACGCATTGTTTTTTCGTATTTTTAAAGAAAAAGCGCGAATTAATTTTCTCTGAGTTTTGAAGTCTTACTTTCTCTTAAGAACTCTGAATAAGACTAATCTTATTAAGTCAAAAAAAGTCAGAATAGGAGCTATTAAATCGGAAAAACTATAATAGTCTTAGTACGTCAGATTTAGCAGTACTGCTATAGCAGTACTGCTAAATCTTATAAGACGTCTTTTGGAAGGGTTAATAAGACTTTTAGCAGTGAAATGGTAGGTAACTATTATATGGATATAGCGATACAAATAAATATCCGGAATTATTCAGAGAGCTTGGTTATAGTAAAAGTTTTAAGTACTGTAAAACAAAACACACAGAAAAGTATTTTTTTTGTGTTGTTATAATAACAACACAAAATCGTGTAGGAATGTAGGTAGGCAAAGTTTATTTAAATTTATCGCAATAAAACAGTTGAGACATGCCCCCGGACGCTTCCCCCTCTGTGCGCCCCTGGAGGAATCCAACCATACTTTTCTTTAACTAATAATTTTTTTACCATTTTTTTCTTAATAAAGTAGGTATGGCTTCCCATTAAGAATACGAAGAATTAGCTTGAAATTTATTGCAGAATAAAATATTGTGTGACTATTGGTCAAAAGAGGAGATTCCACTAGCTACGCTCGTAAGGCAAACTCCACGCTCGAGGAATCTCCTTTTTCTCCCACTAGTCGCACAATAAAACCATATTTATTTATTGAACATAAATGCATTTTTTATATTTTTAAGTTGATGAAATTGACTCATGGCCAACTTTGTTCGAAGTTTAAGGTTAGGCTCCACATGAAAAAGACCCACCTTGAAATTTGAATAAAAGTAATTAAGGTTATAATATAACTTACAGATATATTATATATGTAAGTTGAACGCTAATTTGTTATTTTCTGAAAATACTACAATATATTTGTTTTTTTTAATTTAAAATACTAAAATACATATATTGTATTATTTTCAGAAAATAAGACGAAAGTCATTGCCTGAGTACAATTTCATGCGCGCGGAATTTTGCTCACTGTAAAAATACAGAGAGAGTATAATTTCTTGACGCTATAGTTAGTTATGCGCATCTGCATTCACAGAGGCAGTACCATTTAAACTTTTTTCTACTTGTCTGCAATTTAAGATTTTTAGTACTATGTACCAACCTAAATTTAAAATTAAATTACATAAGTTTGTTTTTTTTATTCAAAATTTGACACATTTGATTATGTTGGTATTGTATGTTAATATACTTTAGTATTTTTAATATTTAAAATTGGCACTACCGGTAAGTTATTAATTTTAAATACTATGACATTTGTCATTTAATTGTCAGAATTATAATAAACATACATGTGTATTTGTACGCTGGGAATGCCACTTTGAATCTTTTGTGGGCTTATATTTCATCAAAGGAAAAGTTATTGCATTTTTTAACAACTTATATTTGACTTTTCAAAATTTATAAAAAAATTGCAATAATTATAACATAACCACAATTAGTTTCTCCACTTAGTTTGTTCTACTCAATGTGGCCAATTTTTGAGGTTGTCAAATTCCGAGTAAAAAAAAACGAACTATAATTAAATGGCGTTTAATTTGACAAGTAAATTTCAAGTTGTAAAATGACCAGAGGCAACCAACGTGAATTAGCTAGAGCTAAAAATCTGAAAAAACAAAGCGATATTAATAAAGCTAAAAATAAAGATGGTTTAACGGTGGAACAAAGAAAGGAACGCGATGCTCAAGCCATCAGGGACAAACAGAAATACAAAGAGTTACAAAATAAAAAGTGATATTTTTAAATGTTGTGAAAGCCAGATGTATAATTTGAAATTCTAATAAATTTTAGAATTTTTTGTATATTTTTAAATAAAATTATTACACTTGTTTATAAATATTTATTAACATCAAAAAATTTCCAAATATACATGACAAACTTTCTTAGTTACATAAATTTACAAAACATTACTTAATCACCTCTTAAATATATCACCATAGCCAATATTTGGCCATTTTTTATGTTACAAGATTGTAAGGTCCTTTTATCAGTTAAAAACCTTCCTTGAGTTTTCAGTTTTATTAAATTGACTGGTATTTCGTTTAATTCAGATATTTTTTCCTTTAAATCTCTTATGCTTTCTTCTGGAGTCGCATCTACTTCCAGCATCTCTCCCATTGGAGGTTTAATTCTTACTTTAAG